GCGTCTGCGCGTCTGCGCGTCTGCGCGTCTGCGCGTCTGCGCGTCTGCGCGTCTGCGCGTCTGCGCGTCTGCGCGTCTGCGCGTCTGCGCGTCTGCGCGTCTGCGCGTCTGCGCGTCTGCGTGTCTGCGCGTCTGCGTGTCTGCGTGTCTGCGTGTCTGCGTGTCTGCGTGTCTGCGTGTCTGCGTGTCTGCGTGTCTGCGTGTCTGCGTGTCTGCGTGTCTGCGTGTCTGCGTGTCTGCGTGTCTGCGTGCCTGCGTGCCTGCGTGTCTGCGTGTCTGCGTGTCTGCGTGTCTGCGTGTCTGCGTGTCTGCGTGTCTGCGTGTCTGCGTGTCTGCGTGTCTCTGTGTCTCTGTGTCTCTGTGTCTCTGTGTCTCTGTGTCTCCGTGTCTCCGTGTCTCCGTGTCTCTGTGAGTCTGTGTGTCTGTGTGTCTGTGTGTTTGTGTGTGCGTGTGTGCGTGTGTGCGTGTGTGCGTGTGTGCGTGTGTGCGCGTGTGCGCGTGTGGTGTCTGTGTGTCTGTGTGTGCGTGTGTGCGTGTGTGCGTGTGTGCGTGTGTGCGTGTGCGTGTGCGTGCGCGTGTGCGTAGGCGTGCGCTTGCGCGTGCGCGTGCGCGTGCGCGTGCTCGTGCGCGTGCGCGTGCGCGTGGGCGTGGGCGTGGGGGCGTGGGCGTGGGGGCGTGGGGGCGTGTGCGTGTGCCTGTGCGTGTGCGTGTGCGTGTGCGCGTGGGCGTGGGCGTTGGCGTGTGGGTGTGGGTGTGGGTGTGGGCGCGTGTAAGCGTGTGCGCGTGCGGGTGTGCGCACGCGTGCGCGTGTGGGCGCGGGCGCGGGCGCGGGCGCGGGCGCGGGCGGGGCGCGCGGCGCGGTGCGCGTGCGTGCGCGTGTGCGGGTGCGCGTTCGCGTGGGCGCGTGGGCGCGTGCGCGTGTGCGCGTGTGCGCGTGTGCGAGTGGGCGAGTGGGCGCGTGCGCGCGTGGGCGCGTGGGCGCGTGGGCGCGTGCGCGCGCGCGCGGGTGTGGGTGTGGGTGTGTGGGTGTGTGGGTGTGTGGGTGTGTGGGTGTGTGTGCGTGTGTGCGTGCGTGCGTGCGTGCGTGCGTGCGTGCGTGCGTGCGTGCGTGCGTGCGTGCGTGCGTGCGTGCGTGGGTGCGTGGGTGCGTGGGTGCGTGGGTGCGTGGGTGCGTGGGTGCGTGGGTGCGTGGGTGGGTGGGTGGGTGGGTGGGTGTGTGTGTGTGTGTGTGTGTGTGTGTGTGCTTGCGTGTTTGCGTGTTTGCGTGTTTGTGTGTGCAGGTTTTTGGGTGTGTGTTATTTTTTTGTTTTTTTTCTTTTTTGTGTGTGGGTGTGTCCGTTTGTGCGTGCGCGTGCGTGCGCGTGTTCTTGTTTCCTCTTGCGCGCGCATGTGCGCATGCACGTGCGCGCACGCGCGTGGCACAGTGTGTGCGTGCACGTGCGGTCTTGGCACAGTGGGCGCGCGTGCGGCGCGCGTGCGTGCATGTGCATGGGCGTGCGTGCACGTGTGCGTGGGCATGTACGTGTGGGTGTGCGCGTGTGTGCGCACGGGAGTGCAGATGCGTGCGCATGCCGGGGGGGGGGGTGTTAGGCGGTGGATTTGTGGCACGTGCTTAGAACAAGTTCCATCAACCTTCCATTTCACGCAGGGCGAACTAGCCGGGCCAAAAGGGGCTTCCGACATGTGAGGCCCACGCACTTTCTTTCTCCCATGCGCTAGACAATTTGCATGCAGAGAGCCTATAGCCCCTCCACAACCGTGTTGCTGGCAGGGACTGTCTGTACATAGCGCTAAGCAAGTATTATAACGGTACTTGGGGTGAGCAGCCTGCAATATCACAGACTTCCATGAAGGAATGTCCAGCGCGAGAGTGCCAGAGCCGACCCTATGCAAGTGCCCGTTAGGCCGCTTCTGTCACCAACCTAGCATGGCAGCGCGTGGTGTCCGCCATGCAAATGGAAGGTGTTAAAACTACTGAATTCGATCGCCTGAGCTGGCACTGGGAGAGAATAAGCGCGGATGCCGATCCACCCGCCCCGCCGTCAAAGGAACTGCGGGCCGGCGAAGCCGCTTGGGGAGCGGTGGGGGCTTGGTCTTCGCCATGGCTCGGTTCTGCTTCCTGCGCCTCACCAGCTCACCAGGCAAACACATGTGGCAGTGCAGGCAAGCAGCGCCTCTGGCGCAACCAGCTTCCTGCCAAAACCAAGCACAGGGCCTGCAGCGCTGCGGGTGCATTGATGACCCAACAGATTCTTCAGGCTCTCGATCCTGAGGTGGGGATTCCGTCTCTGCGTCCTCCAAGCTGCCCAGGGTGCTCGCTGTCTCGGCTGTGCTCGCCAGCGTCTCATTGCTTCCAGCTTTGGCATAGCCTGGCCCGCTGCGGGGGGTGCCTTCTGGCAAGATTCTGCCTTCAGGTCTAGGCATGCAATGGGCCAGGCTCCTGTGGTTCGCAGAGCTGGCAGGGACACCTCGGTTGAGTCTCCCAGGGACACTTGCAGACCGCCTTGGCTGGCAAACTGGCATATACTCCAGAAACGTCATCCTCGACACCAGATTGAAGTCAAACACCCTTTCATCTTCCATGGCTGTGGTGGGTATGTTAGGTCCGCTGCAAGCACTGTCCCTGCGCCTCTGTGCCAAATGCCTGCAAGTCAAATGCCTTCAGTTCTCAGCTGCGAAGCGTAGAGATGCACCGAAGCTGGCTGTCGACCCCATGCCTGTTTGCTTGTCTTACATTTGCTTAAGCCCCCCCGGAAAAAAATGTGTCCAGTACTGGTAGGTTCAATTGAGAACCAAAGGGAAGATAACAAATATTATGTTCAGCAACTGGAATTTGTTTGGCTGTTGGCTTGTGGCCCCCAGGTTGGCTCAAAGCTTTTTGGGAACCCCACAAACGTCTGATCCTCAGACCCCCCCATGCCGTTTCCACCCCGCCAGTGCCACATGGAGCCTGTGACCCCAAGCCTTGGCCCAAGTTGCGGCTCGAAACACCGACAGGGGCCCAAGCACCAACGAATACCGCCCCCAACTGACCTAGATACACAACATCTGCAACCTTTTCCATGACGGACTAATATGGGGCCAACCACTGGTTGGAGATGGAGGCTAGAATGCCGTTGTCGAATATCGTTTTGGAGCGGCAGGAAACTCGCTTGACATCGAGTTTCGGAGTGGAAGGAAACTCACTTCACATCGGCCGAAAGGGTGTTTAAAACCACAAACACGAGAAATCTAGGGCCTATAGATGAATCCTCGCCGTGGCACTGGATGAGGTCGTTGTAGTTGGTGGTCTCCTCAGAACGCCCGACGCTCAACGGCTCGGCGGATTCTCGGGACTGAGCAACGCACATCTCCAAACAGCACAGTCAGCCCCAGGACCCTTGGGGCGGTTCACATGGTGCCATGACAGACCAAACCATGCTGTCACGGTGCCTAGTTGCTTTGCCCATACCATGTTGCCTTGTCTGCGTATGGCACCAATAATGGGCGCAACATGGTGCCATGCTAAACCCCCCCCCCCACCTCAAAAAAAGAAAAAACGACACGGTGTTGCTTCTGGGTTTCCCTTCCACCGAAAAAAAGGGGATACCTGTGGTGGGACCTACCCGACCCGACGCCTCCCCTCCCCTCTCGGGCCAGGGCCGGGTCCACCCGGATCTGCTCCATGACCCGCAGCAGCTGCCGCACCTCCGCGGCGGCGTTGGGCCGGGCGAAGCAGGTCTTCTGCAGGATGCTGAAGGTCACCTGGCTGTGGTTGTCAAAACCGTTTTGGGATCCCATGTTGGTTGGTAGGTGAATTCCCCACCCATCTTAGAACCAATTTTAGTGGGGATTGGGATGTTCACTGGGGGGTACGCGATTTTGACCCATGGCCACCTCGCTCCACACGGATTCACAGTCTGGTTTTTCATCCGTCAGGCATCGGGCGATGGTTGGATTAGACCTCGGACATAAATCCCTATCGAAGGTGTCCACCACCGGATCGCAATTTAAAGAAATACTGACAAGCTCTTGGGGAATTTGGGAATCCATTTTGTCCCCATTTCTGATGCGCTGGTGACCTTCAGTATGATTGGGTCAAAAAACTGAAGGATTCTGGATGCCTGGGTAGGTAGGGTATGGTTGAATTGTCTTTCAGGTAAACCAAAAGGAACACTGAAATCTATTTTGGGGCAAATCATGCGCATCTAAGCAGAACCCGGACTTTCTTCGGGCCGTACCCTAAGGGCTCCGGATCATGGTTGCACCCTTTTTAATCACGTATCTATCCAAACCACCAAGTAGTTGATGTTCAAATCCCCAAACCACCCATCCGAACCATCAAGTCATGTTCAAAATCCCCAAACGTTCAAACCCAAGAGGTCAAACATGTGCGTCCCTGGACATCAAAAATTGGGAGACCCCAAACACATGCATTTTGTTTTCTGGCGGGGGGCCGACTCCGCCTTCCTGACAACCCAAAGCTGGTGCTCCAAAACAATGGGATGCTTGAGATTTGTCACCTGAACTTGGGATCGATTTATCGATTTGCTCGAGGTCCAAATCGATGGTCCGCCACACTTTGCAAGCGTCACATTTGAGAGGACTTCCTTTTTGCTCAGGGGCTAGGGACCTCTGCTGGTTGTGGAAGTGGCTGCGTCTGGCGTAAGCATCATCCTGCCCTTTCCCTTTTGCTCAGAACAAATGGACATAAGCTCCGGGGCGGGGTTGAGACTCGAATTCCGGTGCTTGCACTGGACGCGTTGGATCCCAGAAGCGCTCCAACTAAAGGTTCAACATGTAAACATCCCCCGCCACATGGTCAGCGCTTGCGACTGTCACTTTTAGGTGAAAGCTCCAAGATGAAACTGGAAAGAGCTGAATCCCAGACACCCCTCGGACTGCGCACCTCAAAAGGACAACTACACCTCTGCAAACTGACACACACTCCAAGAAACGAGTCGTTCACAAAGGATTTTCGTCTCAGAATAAGGCTGAGTTTAGGTTGCAGCTGGATTTGCCTTTGTGTCCACCAGCTCGTTGTGAAGGTGTTCGCCATTCAAACCACCACGGGACCCGACCCCCTGGCCCGCGTAGACACGAAAAACGCCTAGCCTAGGAAAGGGGAGCTTGTGGTTCGCCCGGCCAGTTTCAGTGGGGAACCAGCCAACAGGAAACCAACCCACCAACCAACCAACCAACCAACACACCAACCAAAACACCAACCAAACACCACAAGGAGCCCACCAAAAAATGAACCCCCCAAAAAAAACGGAACCCACCAACGAAAGGAAACTGGGCGGCTCGCGGGTTGCACTGGGCCCTAAATGTCCGAGGGGCGAAGTTGGGGCGGATGCCCCGCTGACGCATCACCCCCAGCATGGTGAAGACGTCGCTGAAGCGGCCCACCCTACCAGGAAGTTAGATTTGACCTGCCCAAAAAGTACTCTCTAAATGGGGGGTTTAAAGGAACCCTACAAAAAAGAACAAAAAACAAAAACAAGAGTAACTGTTCACAACTGTTCACTTGTTCTCAATCGGAGTAAGGCCCTGGAATGAAATGTGCATTTCATTCTGAGTCACTAGCAAGATGCAACATGCTTCCTGACCCCGTTGCTTCTAACCATGTCGAAAGGCCCGGCCACGTGCCCCGAGATGCCCCGAGGTACCCCAAACAAATCTACATGGCCTTTACCTACCCAGTATGTGCTGCGGGCCAAAAAGCCCCCATTAATTGAAGGGCATGTTTGTGGGGGCAGTTTTATGGTCTGTTGCTCAGTTGCCCAAAGAACCCCGAAAAAATGGCAAACCTTTGGGAACAGTTGCTAAAAGTGAAACAAATCAGGGGATGCAACAAGTCCCCTAAGGTCGGCTTTGGGCAAGTGAACATTATTTAGTGCCCAAGTGAGCTGTTGCAACTATCTCGCATTCCTGGCACGAACGGCCAAGTCACCTGAAGTAGCCGGCCATGAGGGCAGTATAGAGATACAGCGGATCCTCAGAGCGTACGGGACGTATCGAATCACCGAGTTCATAAATATGCACATGCTGATGCGCAGGGTACACAAAGGAAACACCCGAGTCCAATTTTAGGCGGCACGTACCCCAGGAGCATGTACCGATTTCTAATTGTTCCCTTTCCCAGCATAGGCATAAGCACATCATTCCAGGAACGCCCAACAAGCCCATTTGATGTTGGTGTTTTCATAGACCAGGGGGATGGCTTTTGCGTCCCCCTGGTCCAGTTCCCAAGCGACAATGAGGCTCTAACCTTTGCGAGATACTCGCACGGGCCACACAGGGTTCCTTGACAACAACTCCTTCACTGGAAACTCACCTGAACTTGGCAGCCACGCATTGCTGCTTAAACGACCCAAGCCGCATACTTCAGATCCAGTCGGAAGCCAAATCGCTGACTGCGCATGAGCCTCGGGGGCGGCTGAAAAACGTGCCTTGTGGCGGGTTGTGTTCCTTGGCAGCGCCCCATAAAGATTCGAAACGCTTCAAAAGGGTTGGAAAGGGGATCATTGCAGGATACGCTGAGAGTTGTTGCTTGGGTTGTTGGGATTTACCACCTGCCCCTTGGAGTTGGGCTGGCCTGTTCTCAAGAAAAGAGGATCCTTAGCAAAGTATGGATGGTGCGGCTGGCGAAGTGCACTTGCTCAAGTCTTGGCAACCAATGGCGCACATTTGCAAAGCATAGTGGGCATAGTGGCTTCGGATTGGGAAGGTCCTCCGCATTAATCCGAGGTTGACGTTCCGGTCCCATGTTGAATCGTCATCCCTTTCCTTGGAGTTTACTTACCCACGTAAAGGGAACTGCGCCATCTAGTTGCACCTTGTTTCAAAGAGGTGGCTTGACCACGGGTGCACATGTGTTTTTCCCAATTGCAGCCTCTTTTCTTAGGGCTGTTTTACATGGAAACCGCCCTTTGCTTAAGGAGCCCATGTTGACACGTACCGTTTTACGGCCCCTCAAGGGCCTAAAAAGGCCAGGCGGCTGCTCGCCGCGCCGCAAAAAGAGCTTGGCTCTGTCCAGCTGGCTCGGCGAGGCCGCGCAATGGGCCACCACCAGCAGCAGGAAAAACCTGCAACAAGTTGCGCAAAAATGGCCCAAGAATGAGGCTGGTGGCCCAAAATGTCGCTCAAAACAGGGCAATTCCCAACGAACTTGGTGGCTTTTCCGGCTTTTTGGTTTCCCTTTAACTAAGACAAACAGCAAATAAACCATGCGGAGAAAAAAAAAAAAAAACACAACTACTCAACCCACTTAAGACTTGGCCCAAGCCTATGCACAAACAACCCACAAACAATATTGCCCAGTTCTTTTTCATTTAGCCCACCCTGCACTAAACACCTTTGGGAGATGTCCGAAAGGGTTCAATTTTTAGAAGGCGACTCCTTGGATTGGTTTCTGCGGCTACTGAATCTGCCTCGCACAAGAAAAGTGTGCGCCAAGTGGACTCTTGGCTTCCTTGGGACCTCAAAGAAGGTTCCTGCATGTCTTCTTGCACGACCGCAAGGATTTGAACTGAATCGCCAGTTCCCTTGAAACATGAAGGGGTCGACAAGTTTCGGATTCCCCGTATCCTTTACCTCAGCTGTGTCTATGTAGACCTAAGGGTGCAGTTCCCCCAATGTGGGGCCTCTTTTTTTCCCTCCCGACCAAGGGGCAACGCTTCTGGCACCAGCCCTTGCGCCTAAGGCGAATGCAAGGGCCCCAAAGCTGGCGGCAAATGGACTGGGGCAGGCACACCATTCCGGGCTTCCAACAACTCCTAGTCCTTTGGCTTCCCCAAAAAAGCGGCTTAACAAGGCGTCAGGGTCTGACTACTTCGGGGGGGCATCTTCAACAGTGGCCCGAAGGGCCTGTGCCCATGGGTATTCTGGGTATTCTGGGTATTCGCCATTTGGAGTCCATAGACTGCTTGAGGTGGCATGATGTCAAGCCCCAAATGTTATTGGGCTGTGCCACAGTGTCTTTGAACCGTTCTGCAGGTCCATTATCGAGCCTTTCCTGGTGGCAGCGGTTCAAAGGTACGGGGAAATCCTCCAAGCCCTTTGCTTGGGGGATTTCTCTTCTGTTTTTCCTGGTTGTGATGTTCCTGTGGCACGATGCCATTTGTTCTTTGGAGGTGCCTGGCTGTCCTTTTCGTGATTTCAGGGGGGACGCTGGGCCCATAGTTGTTTTTTCTTTTTTTTTTCTTTTGGGGGGGTATTTTCAAAGTCAGTTTCTCGGCCCCTTCAACCTGCACTTGGGGAGACTTTGGCTCGGTGAGCGTGAAGCGTAACCTCGCCAAGGGCGAACCTGGTGGAGCATTGGGGTGGTGTTTCCCCAAAGGATCCGTTTCAAAATGGGACCTGCCCATCGTATTATTTAAAAAAAAAAGCAAGAGCCGGCTGATTGACAGTTCAAGGGTTCCCTCTCAAAACACATATGGAATCTCAGTAGGGAATGACCCAGGGTGTTGGGAATGAACCTAGGGGCCTCAAGGAAACCATAAAACATGCTTTTCTCGGAGTCATTCCAGTTCATTCCCTGCTAACCAGCAAGTTTTGAGAGAGTATGACTGCCTTCCTGCTCCCTTGGTCAGGCCGCATAGACCCGTGTCAGCAGCCGCGAGGCTGCAGACAAGCCTCGCAAGAACCGGGTTCGAGAAGCAACCGGGGGGAGTTGGGGGGCAACCCGGAGTTTGACCCCCGGACTTTCCCACTAGGGTCCAAAAGATGTCCACTGTTCGTGGTTTTAAACATCACCTTTTTGGCCAATAGTTTTTTCTGAGATCGCGGTGATACTTTTTGGGGGGTCGCCCCTCCACTCTATACATAGTTAAGGAGGATGTCAAAGGCCCTTCCACCCCTCAAGCTTCTTACACAAAATCCTAACAGCTTTCAGGGGTAGGGCCGGGCGGTGGTTTACACCAATCCGTGCAGAAAGAGCAGAACCCATTCAAAACAATGTTGACCTCGTGACAATCGGCGAATCCAAAACCCATTTTGCAGCACGACCCGCAGATTGTTGGGGTTGACCATGTTTAGTGACTGGGGAATTCACGGAACCAGGAATAAGGGTGTGATTCACTGAACGGGGGCTTAACCCCACGTTGTGTACCTCGAGATGGCGATGTGCCTGCACTTATGGTGAGCTCTCCTTGAGGTAAGACGCGATTCCTTACAGAACCAATTGATACCGGCACAGAGCTGGTTTAGGTGCGTGCGGGCGTGTGGTGCATGCCCATCCGAAAAATTGGGTTCCCTTTAACATCAACTCAAAGGGGGCCCGCTAAAAACGACATGTACTAGTTTGCCCCAAGCGCAAGATAATATGGGGCCATATGGGCTTCCCCCTGATACTTGCCATTAAGGCCCCTATTACAACCCGTGCGCCCGCAAAAAAAAAAAGATGCCTCCCAAGAACCTCGTACAAGAAGGTTCCTTGCGAACCTTTCCCAGGGGTGAAAGACATTTTCGAGGGCCTTTGAGAAAATGCCTATGTCTTGTTTTGCCACTGGCGTGACTATCTTGAGGGAAAGGCCCCCCCGCCCAGGAAAGGTTCTCAGAGCCATCAGAGCCTTTTGAATATTCCCTGCTGGGAAGGGCCTGTAGCATCCTCCCAAGGGATGCATGGAGCTGAAGAGGCTACCAATCACTGCCATGTTGTCTAAACCTTCGACAATATGAACATGACGCCCTTTTCTTTTCTGTGACCCACCTTTGCGACTCATGAGCAGGCACAAGCGAGTCTGTCATTTGTGGTATGGCATTCTTAGAGCCAGCTGTACATTTCAGTAAGGCGCTGTAGTGGCCAAAAGGCATCAGCTAGAGCGCGGCTTTCCAACGAAACCCAAGCTTTACAGCATTCTTGGGCCCTGCTGTTGAGAGCTTCCAATTCACATGACAGCTCAGAAAATGTCTCTGGCCAGGTCGCCCACATCGTGGAAGCCATCACCAACAAAGCCGCCCACATCGTCCACCGCATCCTCGGCGAAGCGGCCAATGTCTCCCGCATGCTCCACGGCAAAGGCTGTGCCGGCACCCAGCGCAACGCCCCCGGCAGCCGCCATCGCCATCCGTGCCCCACTAGCGTGCGAAGGGCCGCTCTGGTAGTCACCTTCGTACTGGGGCTGTGGCTGGGCGTAAGGCGCCTGGGCATAAGGCGGCTGGGCATAAGGCGGCTGGGCATAAGGCGCCTGGGCATAAGGCGGCTGGGCATAAGGCGGCTGGGCATAACCTGGTCCAAAGCTGGGCTCGTAGGCAGGCTGACCATACGGCTGGCCGTACATGGTCTGACCATACTCTGGCTGAGCGTTGAAAGCAACATTCTCGCATGAGCGTCGCTCATATTCGCAGTCGTAGTCCCGCTGCGCCCTGTATGGCATAGGCTCACGCATGTCCTTTCCACTGATGCAGCCCATGGCTGTTACTAACAATGCTTCCTGCTACGTGGAGACTTCACCCAGAGCTTGAGCCGAAATGGGATTGGCATCCAATCTATCTATCCAGGGAGTCGGATAAAACCCACAGAACATTGCTTAAACCCAATAGGCAACAGAACAGTTGCCTGAACCCCACCGAAAGTGGCCTGAAACCCCCGCCGCAGTCAAACTCCTAGCTGCTCTGCGCCCTTGAGACTTCACAATCTGCAAGGCAGATATGTCCATCCCCCGCCCATGTCCATCCTCCCCACCCCCACCCCACCCAGTGGGCTAGGGACACCTCAAAACTTGTTGCTTTTGAACTTTGAACCGCCAGAAAGTTGTGCCAGGACCCCCCAGTCTGCTTCCACATCAGGCGAGGGTAAACACCGGCCAAAACAGTGTTCAACAGGATGATCTGCTTTGGTGTTGCAGCAATTGTTGGTTCTCGAAACCCTCTAACCTCTTGGTTTCTACCTGGTTTGTTGTGCCCCGATGGTTCCACCTTTAACTTCCATGAGTCCCATGGTCCAATCCACTCATGATGCGGGCCCATGGTCACAGTTCCTTGCCACTGCTGTCCACATGCTCCATTAAGGAGTACATGACTATGTTTCCCGACGCCTGGCAACAAAGGTGCTGTGACCAAGCGGTAAGATGCTCTCTCTGCGTGCAATATGACCTAAGCACTGACTGGCCTTTAGCTGAGGACATGTCTGTTGGACGCTGGTGCATTCTCAACCTGATTCTCTGCAGCAAGGGTTACTGGCGGATTGGGAAAATCACGTGAGGAACTGTCTGAGTCCAAGTCCCGAACTCCAAGCTGACCAGGTGACCACAAATGAAACAGGACATATTGACCGGACAAGATGCTTGATGCTCAATCTATCAGGCAATGGCGTCGGGGAAACAACCAGCATGCTTACGGCATGGATTTGAGACAAATAACGCAGGACACAGGAAACGGTATTGTGCAAAACAATGTCCCCGCACCTCCCAAATTGATCATTGTTTAAATGAGCGAACCCCTTACACGTGTTTCGCCTTACTCGGTTGCTTTCTGCTCCCCTGCCAAAAGTGACTAACTTTTAGTGGTTTAATGGGAAACCCATTAGTTGGCAAAAAGCTGAAGTCCTAACATCCCTTGGCAAAATGCACAAAAGCTTGTATACCCTTCGCTTTACCCTCCAAAAATGGAACACACCGGCTTCCAGGAGGCTTTAGTCGGGTTCCAGGGCAACCTAGATCGAAGGGCACATTAAGCCGAATGGTTTTGTCTGCAAATGAGGAACCACGCCCCCTCAACACTAGAAAGGTCTCTCGAAATAGTGGATGGTGGCTTCACGGAAGTCGAGGGGACAAAACACGCAGCTTTGAGGGTCACCTAGTTCGGTCTGTCTTTTCTTGAGGCTACGTGTTTTGCGGCTGCTTGAAAGGGAAACCAAAGAGAAACCACCCTTTGGAGGTTTTTCTCAAAAACGCCACACCACTTTTGAGAACCCTCACCCGCCTTGGCGCTTGGCTACCTCCTGCACCAGCAAGTTGTACATCCGTGCGTCCGGCTTCGGGAAGCGCCGGTCCGAGCCTAAGGTGGGCAAGGCGAGCTGGCTCGGCTGTCTGGACTACCTTGGCACTTTGATAAAGGTTTCCCTTGCTATCATTGAGAGCAGCATTCTAAACTAGTCTTGGGTTGTCAAAGTGGAAGTCCCAATTTTTTGGTAGGCTGCGCCTTGAACGGCACAAAGTCCAAAGAAGCTTTGTTTTTTTTGACCCCCCCCCCCGAAATGGCAAGAATTCAGAGCTTGCCAAATCGAAATCGTCTGCTGGCCAAGCTGCCCTCCTCCATCGTCTCCACGATTTTTGCCGCCTCTTCTAGGCCTCAAAGGCTGAATTTGAGGTGCCGGGCACGCTCGCATTCCATCCCCGCGCGCATCTGAGGGTAGCTTTTTGTGGAGTGGTGGTTTGAAAGGACACCCAAAAAGGAAAGCCGGTCATTTGGGGGGTGCCCTCAAAAAGTGGCACAGCCATATGGGCCGGCCAGAATGTCGCCGACAAGCCGAGGGACGACCACTCAGGGCCAGCGCATAAACCACCTGCGCCCACTGCTCTTGGTTCGGCTCTTGCTCCAGAAACCACTCTTCCACGCGGTGGTACAGCTGCCTCGGGTGACCCACTCGCTTCCTGGATTGGCCAACCGCCCAAACGAAAGATTGTCACTACGGCCGTCACCAAAGAAACTTGGGAAAGGAGATACGTTTCACGTTTCACGCCTGCTTTCACTTGCAACCAAGGACCGAAGCATGATTTTCTCGGTGTATAGCCCACTCAAGAAACCGGTGCATGCCTCTCTTGTACCACATAGGGGGTATGTAAGACCAAAAGATTCAGGGTTCGTGGACAGCCCATGTGGCTTCATTGATTCATGTGGGTATCTCCGAAAATAGGCGACGCGAGGCCATGCGCGTGCACGTGTGCACAAGCTGCAAGGGCATGTTCGTGTATGGATTGTCGAGGTTCCGAGGCTTCTTTCTCTGCCACCAAAAGGCAGCTTTCATTTCATGTATATATGGCTCCAAGAATAAATTTATTGATATGCCCCGCAACGCATCCTGTAAAATCTAGCCATGCCCACAGAACACCTGTCTCTGCACACGCTATGAAACCACAAACTGGAAATATGGTGTCCCTGACTAAACGATCATGACGGGCAAGCCGATAAGCCGATTTTACCAGCTGCTGTTGTGCAAATACCGAAGCTTGGTGGCTGCTGCCCTCACTGCAAAACTAGTTTAATTTGCAGCTGGCTAGCTGGCTAGCTGGCTAGCTGGCTAGTGGGAAACCACACGATTTCCCTAAAAGTCACAGGTTGAAGATCCAACCAAATAGCAGCCACTTCGGCTTGGGGGCGTCGAAGCCATCTTAGACTGGAAAGCAGGTCCGAGCCACACGAGGCTCTCAGGAGACACGTCAGCTCTTCGCATAGCCTTGGATAAGGCGTGGAGCGGATGGACAGTTGGAGAAATGAATGTGGCTCTGTATTGAAAGAGACCCTAAGATTCCCTGCAAAACCAAAACGGGTACCCTCCACAACATAACTCACACAGGTCTATGCATGAATCCGGCCCCGACTCCTTGCAAATGACGAATGATGCTGCTCAGACGTGTATATACTCCAAAATGTGTCGTTCGTGCTTATTGGTGGGAGCCTCCATACGTAGAGTACACTTGTACTATGCCCTGGCCAGACTTAGACCCCCTGCTAAGAAAATAGGTTTGCTGGTTGGAAAGGGAAATGAAGGAACCTTGAAAGGCAACAGCTTGATGCAAGCTAAGTCTCAATGTTACTTAGAGCTTGGGATATGCCAGTGTCCTGGCCCCCCCCGCCGCGAACCCGGGAACGAGAGCGTCCCCTGTGCCCAGCCTCGTCCACAAGACACAAGCCACAAACAAACGGCCGAACAATAGCCCGGGTGATATCCCCAACCCCGGAACCTTGGGCTTCGCAATGGTGAGCCGTCAGTACCCGGTTGTTTCCGGGGCGATTCGGCAACCAAAGGCAAAGGAAAACAGCACGAAAACACATTTGGCAACCATGTTCCCTCCACAAACTCTTCAAGTGTGGGGTCAACTTTGCTACTTCCAACTTGTTGGTCCTGACTGCCCTGAACGCTACTGAGCTCTCTCTATGGCGAATTTTTGGATACCCGAAAGGCGTCAGGCCCACTAAATTGTGAAACACCCCTTGCCCCCCCCAAACAAATAATAATAATAATAATACTAATAATAATAACAATAATACGTAATAATAAATAAAATGCTTATGCAATTTCCCTAGGGTGCACCATCACGTCCTCTGACATGTACTCACCAGAGAGCCCCTTTGAAAGGAACATAGTCTCGCAGGGTCACTCAGTCAGATTCCATGCTAGTGGAGAGGAGGGAAACCCAAAAACCCACCAAAACAAGACATGCGTTGCTTCCCTGGCTTGTGTAATGTCCCTGTGCAATCCCCAAAAAATACAAAATAAATAAGCACTATTCCTCCCACCCTTCCGTTTTCGCCCAAAAAGCCCGCAGCAGCCATCGGAAGTTCTCCACGGGCAGGCCCATGGTCTCCTAAAGCACGTCGCCCCAAGGGAGACTCAGCTGCAAAGAACTAGCCCATGTTTTTGTTTGTGGGGTTCTGGGGGTACTCGAAAGCCAACTTGACGGAGGTGTGTGTGATTATTCAATCCGGGAAATCAAAGTGCTCCCCAAGTCCCCCGCCCAAAGGGACCATGGACGAAATACCGACAGTTGGAGTGGAATCCATTTTCTAGCATTTCCCCTATGACAACGCAGAAACGGAACTAGAAATACCTAGAACCCCGTCCCCAATTCTCTTGGCAAGGCGGTGAGGATTAACTACAAAAGAATTCTTGGCTCACAACAAATGAACAAAATTGTTCCGTTCCACATATCAGTCTAATCATTGCAATGATTCATGCCCTTCCTTGATTGTTGGGATCCAAAATCATCCGCTGGAGGTCCCAAGGTTCGGGACTCAGAAATCCTTGGTGGTGTTCCTTTTGGTTCCCCTTTAAAACCAACCCCAAAAGGGGGCACCCTGAAAAACAACGCACCCGGTGATATCTTAGGCAGGTCCCGCCTCCGCCAGGATGGAGATCATCTCCCCCCTGAGGTCGCCTTAACAAGCCGACCCCCCCCTTTGGACGAAGGTAAAAGCACCAGGTGGCCAGGCTTCAAAATCGTAAAACCTACAAAAAACACAATTCAAAGGCACCATGGTGAAGGCTCCGGATTCTGGTTGCTTCTTTGGAACCCCCCTCCAACAAAAAAGAGAAGCATCGTGGCAGTTTTGCGTCAGTCCCGTTTGAAACACCCTAAACACAATTCAGAAGCATGCCCAGACCCGAATGGCCCACACACACACACACCCCTTCAAACACACGGGAAATCAAAACAACGCAAAACTGGAGGTGTGTTTGGGGGAGTGGTGGTAGGAGTTTTATGAAGCATTGAATCAACCACCACCTGAGTTCCGGGCTGCTGGCAGACAAGAAAATGCGCGCCACCATCTCGTACCTGAGCGCGCTTCAGCCCAGTGGTTTCCAATGATGCTGACACTTTGGGAGCCCCAAGGTGAAACTCAATGAATTCTGGGTGAATCTAGTCCTACTCCAGGTTGCCTTTGCCTTTCGCCTGGCCAAGGCAACCATAGGGAACCGCAGGGAACTCAATCCCTCACTCCCCACAGCAAACATGCAACCAAAAACTACGAAAACCTCTGGGCAACAGTTCATCGGGGACCATTCTACCGCTCCCTCAAAACAAGACTCCACCTGAAGGAAACTCACAAACCATACTCGGCCTGCCCAAAGACGCTTCAACCGCCCCAAAACCCCACTCAGCGCACTCCGAACAGGGGTTGCGCACATGGCCACCTCATTTTCATCCAGGTCACGGCTGACAAGCATCACCCGGGTTATCTTGGTTCTTGGTGAATGTCAGGGCCAGAACATATGTTCAGTGAAGGATTCCTAAGACAACTATTGTGGACAATCATTACAACATGTTCCCCTGCAAATTAAAATGGAACTTCAAAAGGGTGTCCCCAAAGAAAAAGATCCCTCTACACGGCAATTTGCAAGAGAGGCAAATACATGCAGTTTTACAACCAAGGGAAGCAAACCATGTTGTTTGAGGGCCCCATCACGCACTGGGGCAGAAGAAGCCAATCATCTTATACATGTCACGCTTTTATTTGTTTAGTGTATGAAGCAGCTAAACACAATATACAAGCACAAACAGATACTAACCACTCCAACCCTAATAAATACGATTGAAAGCGCTAATGCACTCATTATCAATGTACTTGGGCATCAATAGTAAAAAAACCTTCAGCTTGTATGAGGGCAACAGCTCCGCGAAGGATCAACATATGCATGCATATGTACACACACACACATATCTACATATATAAATATATGTATAGATGTACATATATATATATATATATCATGGATATCTACTCCAGTCTCGGCGTGGGGTTGAGCCCCTAAATTCTGGGGCATCCGCACACGCAAACAATCATCTATAAAAGTGTCCGTCTTATTCCTCTTGAAAACGACCGGCAAAAAACAAGGCCCAAAGGACACATGCATCCATCTATGCACATGGGCTTGTCTCAAAAAAGGTGGCCCAAAAACTGCTCTTTTGGCTTCCCTTGAAACACCAGCCAAAAAGCAGGTACCCTCCAAAAATCCATCAAAAAACAGACACACTCTTAGAGGAAGCCGTCCGCTTCGTTTTTTCGCGCCTTTTGATGCCCTTGGGCCCCCAAGCCCGCCGTCCACTTCCTCCCGCAGGCGCTGCAATAGCTGCTGCGAAGCCTTGGACGCAATGGATCTGAAGACCTACTGGTGAAATAATGTGAAACAGGGCCTGGCTTTTTATGGTCCATATTCTTTCCCCACATGTTGGATTGACTCTTGAGGACCCACTGGTTATAGAATGTTGTAGGGGGGCCTGGTTTCAGGGGCCCATATCTGTCCCCTTTAGACATGTCACACCATCCCCATCCAACGGAAACTCGCCGTACAGCTCGAACAGGGGTCCCTGCCTTTCCCCGTTACACATCAGGCTCCATCCAAAGAAAACGCACAGTACAGCCCAAAATGCCATGTCTAAAACTCAAGGAGACACGTATGGAACCCTTGGTGTTGTCGGTGCGGCAGAACGATGAAGCGATTCTCAAGGGAACAAGCCGCCAGAGGGGGGCACATATACTCGAAGTGCCGAAATTAAATGGGGTGTGTAGGGTACTTTGTCTCCCCGCAGGTTCTCAAGCGGCTGGGGTGCTCTTGTGAATGTCACTTGTCCTTCCCACTGCAAATAATGGCCCCGATAATTGGCATAAAACCAATCTAACCAGTGCCATCTATTTCTAAACAAACTAACCTAAAAAGGACATCTATGCCCGTATGGTACTCTTTTACAGGCATTCCAAGCCACCTTCGGCTGGGTCCCAGTCAGAACCCGGATTCCCCCAAAGCGAGACACAACACGCCGGATATCCGCACCTACTTGGGCAAGCTTGACCCAACACTCGCGTACACCAAAAAAAAGAGACTGCCTGATTCTGTGTCATGATCATCCAACCTTACAAATAGAGAATGATGAACAGCGCGAGCCATGCGAGCTGGGCAAACGCGGATTTGTTTCAGCAAGTGCGAAACATATCTTCAACGTAACGCGCCCGAACGAATTCTCACCTGTCGGTCCTTCTCACCGCTGGATTTTTTTTCTGCACATCCTTCCGCGCTGCCCGGCCCTCTCAGGAAATTGTCAGTTCTCAGCAAACCCCAACCTTGGCATATGGGTGACAATCAGTTGGCATACCCGACCGGTAGTACAGTCAGCACATGCAAGTGTGCAACCAGAAAATTCAGGAAGTGGGCGAGAAATACACAATTGGGGGCCATGTGCTAACAGAATGTCATCATGTAGGCACACCCGCTTGTGGGGTACGTTAAAACTAAGTTTAGTCATGATTATGGGGGACCATTAGATCTGGTGCTTATTTAGCCCCCTTCACTTCCCCACTATACCCGCCAATGGGCCAACAAGGTGATGCTAAAAATCCCCACCCAAAACCGGACATTCGGCGCATTCGGGCCGGGTCCCTTGGGCCCTTGGCTCCACCCGAAACCTCCCCGATCCGAGCCACAGAGGCCTTGGACAACTCCTCCCCCGTCTCCGGAGCCTGGCGCGGTCGCTTGGACCGGTCTGATGGGTCTGATGGGTACGGGCACCCCTGGGATATATGGCTGTGGTTGTCCAAAATAGGGTAACCCAGAATGGAACCCTGGTAAATGGAAGCATGGACTAAAACCTGCGGTTTTCTGGTGGTTTAATTTTGACCCATACCCATATGGGTTTGTCTCAAAACAGGAATCGGAACCCAAAAAATGGTTCGCTTGTGCTGTTGGCTTCCCTCTAAAACCGCCAAACAAGGGGTGCCCTCAAAAAACGATGCCCCTATGGTTGCACAAGTAATCAAGCAAATAATCATGTAGATAATTCAATGGATAAGTAAATCAACAATTAAACAGGTAGATAAACATTTGCTTTTAGCAGCCAGTGGACATTTTGGGAAATAGAGACTTAAGACAGCCTCCACATGAATAAGGGGATAGGAATACAATGCGAACAGTGCAAGTGCAAGCTCACCTACAGAGCCCATTATGTTGACTGACTGTGCAGGAAACGTGCCCCCAGCAAATGTGACGTTGATACAAAACTGAAACAAGTCACAAAGGAGCCTGCCTGGTATAAACTCAGATTGCGAAACTGCTGGATGAATAGGTTCGGCGTGCCCGAAGAGTGAAAAGCCCTCTTCAAAGCGGGAACCCCCCCTCTATGAAATAAGCAATGTGCCGGTTCTCCAGGCATTCCCTATGAATGCTTCAGGTTGACTCATCCGGGGTCATTCCGGTGTCCAGTGACACCCTGGCAGAAAAAAAGGGAGCCCTTTGTGGGGTTTACCGATTGAAGTGCCGCCATCATCAGACATCTCCCATCGGACTCGCTTGAACAAACCTGCGGAAGAGGCCCCGTCCAGGAGCGCTCTGCAAAGGACGAACTCGCCGGAAACGGTGGCGTAAGGGGGGCACACACACACACACACACACTCAAACACGAGACCTCCAATGCTTTTGAAGGCAACCCCCACCCCCATGTTGCGGGGGTAAAGCAGCTGCCTCTGGCTCCTCCGCCTGGAGTACCACGCGGCCTCGATGATCCGATGGGCGGTATGCGGAATCCATTTGCCACCCTTTGAAAACCAACGGAAAGGCCTAGGAGTAGCTTCCATTTCCATTCTTTCCAGGGATCCTTCTTTCTAGAAAACCACCAAAAACCCGGGGAGAAATAGGAAACGGCTGGTGTTTGAAAAGAACGATGGCTGAAAAGAATGGACAAGGAATCAACCCCTAGACAAAAAGGGGCCTGGTGACCTACGTGGCAGGCGGACCCTTCCCATCCGACAAGGCTGCCCTAGAAATTGGCCTATGCTGGCGGGCCAGTTTACTAAACCAACAGGCCAACAATGTTCCACCGAACCAGCTCCAGTCGCTCTCCAAAACAATCTGAAACTAATTGGTAAAACACATGCTCAACTGCTTGAATTGACGAAACCCGAAAGATGCCTTGAGCGATTCCATTCAAGTTCCTTGCTTCGAGCCCCGGACGAGGACCGTAGCAGAAACCTGCGAGATCTCCCCAGAAGGACATCTGAAGGGGTACATGGATGAAGCGCTTCGTGGGTGTCCCATTTGGAAACGAGGGAACGTCCTCCCTTCTCATCCGCCAGGGTCTAATGTTGACCCCGGATGAATACACCCATCCTACTAACAGGATCCAACCGGGGGGGTATCAGCAACAAAGTCACGGATTTCCACCAGAAGAGGGCCGGGTCTAACATTAGCATCAACAATCACCTTGGACTTTGCCCGGCTTCGCAGGATAAGTTCGCGCAGGCTGGCGGTGAAGCAACCCCCTCCACATGGTCTTTGAGTCATGTGAGTTCTCGATGAGCAAATGCCCCCAGAGGGTCAGATTCTCAAGCTCAGATGGGGAGCATACCGGCTTCCACCCAAGAGCACTTTTTTGCAGGGGGTGGGACAACCCCCCCCCCCCAGCGTGCCATTCCTGGCTGCCGGGCTGCGGCCGCCTTTCCTGGCACCTGCGGCGCCTCTGGCCTGGCAACGAAAAAGCTTCACTCCAGGCGATATGGTTGTTCTACACCACATTCTCCTTGTACCGGGCGAAACAAGGAGTAATGCTGACCCAGGATTAATAAACCCCCCCCTATTAAAGCGCCTGGTTTTCCTTGAAAATCCCTCGCCAATACTCGTTTTAATTGAAACCCAGGAATCTGCCCTGGCACCCCCACAATAACAAAAAAATTCCCCCGGCTCCCCTCCCCCAACCCCCCCGCTACATCATGCGTTTTTAATCTAATTTTAACTTGCCCAACTTTGGCACATGCAACAGCAGCACCCCCCCATTAGTAAAGCCAGCACCCCCCTATTAATCTACCATGTTTGATGCCCTGCTTTTGCACCCCCCCATTAGTAAAGCCAGCACCCCCCTATTAATCTACCATGTTTGATGCCCTGCTTTTGCACACCAGCTCCTTTTTTACTTGCAACCGCAGCACCCCCCATTAGTAAAGCCAGCACCCCCCTATTAATCTACCATGGTCGACGCCCTGCTTTTGCACCCCCCCATTAGTAAAGCCAGCACCCCCCTATTAATCTACCATGTTGGATGCCCTGCTTTTGCACACCAGCTCCATTTTTACTTGCAACAGCAGCACCCCCCCCCCATTACTAAAGCCAGCACCCCTCTATTAATCTACCATGTTTGATGCCCTGCTTTTGCACCCCCCATTAGTAAAGCCAGCACCCCCCTATTAATCTACCATGTTTGATGCCCTCCTTTTGCACACCAGCTCCTTTTTTTACTTGCAACAGCAGCACCCCCCCAGTAGTAAAGCCAGCACCCCCCCTATTAATCTACCATAGTCGATGCCCTGCTTTTGCACCCCCCCTATTAGTAAACCCAGCACCCCCCAATTAATCTACCATGTTTGATGCCCTGCTTTTGCACACCAGCTCCTTTTTTACTTGCAACAGCAGCACCCCCCCATTAGTAAAGCCAGCACCCCTCTATTAATCTACCATGGTTGATGCCCTGCTTTTGCACCCCCCCATTAGTAAAACCAGCACCCCCCTATTAATCTACCATGGTCGATGCCATGCTTTTGCACCCCCCCATTAGTAAAGCCAGCACCCCCCTATTAATCTACCATGTTTGATGCCCTGCTTTTGCACACCAGCTCCTTTTTTTACTTGCAACAGCAGCACCCCCCCAATAGTAAAGCCAGCACCCCCCTATTAATCTACCATGGTCGATGCCCTGCTTTTGCACCCCCCATTAGTAAAGCCAGCACCCTATTAATCTACCATGTTTGATGCCCTGCTTTTGCACACCAGCTCCTTTTTTTACTTGCAACAGCAGCACCCCCCCATTAGTAAAGCCAGCACCCCCCTATTAATCTACCATGGTCGATGCCCTGCTTTTGCACCCCCCATTAGTAAAGCCAGCACCCCCCTATTAATCTACCATGTTTGATGCCCTGCTTTTGCACACCAGCTCCTTTTTTTGCTTGCAACAGCAGCACCCCCCCATTAGTAAAGCCAGCACCCCCCTATTAATCTACCATGGTCGATGCCCTGCTTTTGCACCCCCCCATTAGTAAAGCCAGCACCCCCCTATTAATCTACCATGGTTTACTTGCAACAGCAGCAACCCCCCATTAGTAAAGCCAGCACCCCCTATTAATCTACTCTACCATGGTTGACGCCCTGCTTTTGCACCCCCCCCATTAGTAAAGCCAGCACCCCCCTATTAATCTACCATGGTCGACGCCCTGCTTTTGCACCCCCCCTTTAGTACAGCCAGCACCCCCCTATTGATCTACCATGTTTGATGCCCTGCTTTTACACACCAGCCTGCGTTTCCTCCTGCTGGTGAGTTGGTGGGCACCCTCCTTGAGCACATCTGGTGCTTCCTTTCCTTGTTCTTTCTGCTCCTGCTTTTCCTTCTGCACCTGGTGTGCCTGCTGGGCATCCTCACCCTTCAGCACATCTGGTGCTTCCTTTCCTTGTTCTTCCTGCTCCTGCTTTTCCTTCTGACATCCTGGCAGCCGAATGCCAATGTTCTTCTTTCTTTCTTTCTTTCTTTCTTTCTTAAGGATTTCAAGTAAGGAAACTGAAAGATTCAAGTCTCCACTCCAAAAGTTCTTGCAACATGCCATGCCGGCCAAACTTGCTTTCCTTTGATGAAAAGGCGCTACTTGGAATCGAACCTCTATCCTGCCCGTTGTGAAGAGAATGTTTCTGCCAACTAGACTAAGCAGTCTTGACCACAGGGCAACAAATAAGGTTACCTGTCCTTGCCCAGGACCATTTTGCACTTAGCAGTTTATTATTATAGGGGTGCGCACCTTTTTGGGTGGAGCCTGGAACCTTGGGAGCTGGGTCCAGGGTGCAGTTAGTGGAACAGCCCAAGCAATACTAGAAGACATTGTGACACACACAAACAAGGCCAACAACAGCTTGGGAGCCACAAGCTTTCAACATCCAACCCAAGGCAGCCAACAGTGGCCAAAACCAGCCCAGCAACACCAGCAGAGATAGTGTGACTCCAAAACAAGGCCAACAACAGCTTGGGAGCCACAAGCTTTCAACATCCAACCCAAGCAGCCAACAATGGTTCAAACCAGCCCAGCAACAGCAGCAGAGATCGTGTGACACCAAAACAAGGCCAACAACAGCTTGGAAGCCACATATGGTGAAAGGAGGATTATTATTAGGGGGGTGCTCACCACTATTGTGCAAAACCATAACTGTGCTCAACTTCCTGTTTGGCAAGGCCAACATTATCCAGCAAAGATTATGTTCTTGCCAAAATTGGTGAGCACCCCCGAATAATAATCCAACTTCTTTTAACCATATGTGGCTCCCAAGCTGTTGTTGGCCTTGTTTTGGTGTCACACTATCTCTGCTGGTGTTGCTGGGCTGGTTTGAACCACTGTTGGCTGCCTTGGGTTTGATGTTGAAAGCTTGTGGCTCCCAAGCTGTTGTGTTGCTGGGCTGGTTTTGGCCACTGTTGAAAGCTTGTGGCTTTCAAGATGTCTTCTAGTATTGCTTGGGTGTTCCACCAAGGTGCACCCTGGACCCAGCTCCCCAGGTTCAAGGCTCCACCCAAAAAGCGCGCACCCCCATAATAATAAACTGCTAAGTGCAAAATGGTCCTGGGCAAGGACAGGTAACCTTATTTCTTGCCCTGTGGTCAAGACTGCTTGGTCTAGTTGGCACAAACATTCTCTTCACAACGGAAGAGCGTGGGTTCGATCTCCCGGTGGTGCCTTCTTTTCATCAAAGGAAAGCAAGTTTGGCCGGCATGGCATAGCTTTCTACAAGCTTATGTAGTGCAAAGAAGTTGGATTATTATTAGGGGGGTGCTCACCACTTTTGGCAAGAACATAACCTTTGGATAATGTTGGTCTTGCCAAGCAGGAAGTTGAGCACAGTTATGGTTTTGCACACAAGCCCTAATAATAATCCCCCTTCTTTTCACCATATGTGGCTCCAAAGCCGTTGTTGGCCTGGTTTTGGCGTCACAATGTCTCTGCTGGTGTGTCTGGGCTAGTTTGAACCACTGTTGGCTGCCTTGGGTTGGCTTGTGGCTCCCAAGCTGTTGTTGACTTTTTCACAAGCTGCCTTCAAGCCCCCTAATTAATTACTGCTTAACAGTTCTTAGATTTGGCACCCCCCTATTAATCAAAGGACTCCTCTGATTGCTTTAAATCCTGACCTTCCCACAAGGTTCCCTCACCTGACCTTCTTACAAGCCACAAGGATCCCTGACCTGACCTTCCCACAAGGTTCCCTGACCTGACTTTTTCACAAGCTACCTTCAAGCTCCCTACTTATTCATCAACAATTCTTAGATTTGGCACCCCCTGTTAATCAACCATGTTCTCCAACAGCCTCCAAAACCCCTCTGGCCTCACAAGTCATGACCTTCCCACTCACCTGACCTTCAAGCCCCCCAAATTCTTCTGGCACCCCCTATTAACCAACCAGAGAACTACAACTCTGCTTGCTTTACATGCTGACCTTCCCACAAGTTTCCCTCACCTGACCTTCCCACAAGGTTCCCACAAGGTTCCCTGACCTGACCTTCCTACAAGGTTCCCTGACCTGACTTTTTCACAGGCTACCTTCACTCATCAAAATTCTTATAGATTTGGCACCCCCTATTAATCAATCATGTTCTCCAAAAGCCTTCAAAAGACCCCTCTGATTGCTTTAAATCCATTTCAATAGGTTCCCTGGCCTCACCACAAGGTTCCCTCACCTGACCTTCCCACAAGGTTCCCTCACTTGACCTTCCCACAAGGTCCTGACCTTCCCACAAGGTTCCCTCACCTGACCTTCCCACAAGGTTTCCAAGGTCCTGACCTTCAAAGTTCCCTCACCTGACCTTCCCAAGGTCCTGACCTTCCTGACCTTCCCACAAGGTTCCCTCACCTGACCTTCCCACAAGGTTCCCCCACCTGACCTTCCCACAAGAAGGTCCTGACCTTCCCACAAGGTTCCCTCACCTGACCTTCCCACAAGGTCCTGACCTTCCCACAAGGTTCCCTCACCTGACCTTCCCACAGACCTTCCCGCAAGGTTCCCCCACCTGACCTTCCCACAAGGTCCTGACCTTCCCACAAGGCACCTGACCTTCCCACAAGGTCCTGACCTTCCCACAAGGTTCCCTCACCTGACCTTCCCACAAGGTTCCCTCACCTGACCTTCCCACAAGGTTCCCCCCACCTGACCTTCCCACAAGGTCCTGACCTTCCCACAAGGTTCCCCCACCTGACCTTCCGACAAGGTCCTGACCTTCCCACAAGGTTCCCTCACCTGACCTTCCCACAAGGTCCTGACCTTCCCACAAGGTTCCCTCACCTGACCTTCCCACAAGGTTCCCTGACCTGACCTTCCCACAAGGTTCCCCTTCCCACTATTGGGGGGGGGGGGGCGGCCCTCAAAAAAATGACAGACCTGACCTTGTGACCTTGAGGGGGGGGGGGGGGAGGGGGGGGGGGGGTTTATTAATCCGGGGTCTGCATTATGCCCACACCTGGAACCTCTCTAGCCCCATGGCTGTTGAAACGGAAGGAACAAGAAACAAACAACCTTCATAGGTTGAATCGCTTGTATGACGCCCTCGGTGAGAGGGCGACACGCCACAGTGAATTCACGTTGACCGCTAAGCGCTAGGCCGAATGGGCTGACATGGCGCATGTTTGGTCACCAGCTGCCATTGTAGAAAGTTCTGCCTACATATTCAGTTCTTAAGGCCCAGAAGGCTTTCAAACCTCCAGCTTGCAACTTGCATGAACAGCAGCTCATCAGCCCAGTCGAGTTGTTGCCTACTTGCGAGACGTTCGTCTAGCTGAGGGGCGGAGAAATGGGACACCGCAATCACAATCCACAAGTTGGAGGTGCCAATTGCCCTGCCAAGGCCCTTGATGAATAATCCCACAACTATCACCACAAGTCCCCCACTTAACGGACATTTGGTTCTAGCTAAGACCTACCCGAATGAATAAAGGGCGACAACACAAAGATGTCAACCTTGCAGGCTTCCTTAAATGGGAACCCGTTTGCGGTAGATAAGCAAACGCCTGGTTGATCAATACGGGTGTGCCCCAGTTGAGTGGGAATCCTGTACTTTTCTAGGTGACACCCCATTGGGGAAGAGAGGTTTATTGATCCGGGCCCAAGTGCAGGTTACAGGCCCCCTTTGTACACCCCACAGGCAACAAACCAGCATTTGGGAAGCAAACGGTACCAATGAACCGCCTGAACAAGGAGAACTGACGCACGCCCCCGCCAGGAAATCGAAGGCCCCCCGATGATGTGCAGGATCCCTTTCTGAGGCACACAAATCCATCTTTCCACCAAAGTCATCTGATTTGTCTACACGGGCTGTTCTGGGACCCTGTGCGCAGCATGGTGCACGTTTCATGTCCTATTAAAGCACCCTGTCATTCTTTATGGGGGCAGCAACAATCATGAATGAAGTCCCAACCTGACACGGTGAAAAACAACAAAGGCAAACGGTCCGACCAACACGAATATGAGTTTGTGTTTTTTCAGGTTGGTTTACAAGTGAAACCACAATGAAAACCACAATTTTTAAGGCTCCCCCGATTTTGACACTCACCCATACTGCAACGCGAGAGAGTCCCGGACCAGCCCGCACCCCGCACCTCCAGCGACGAAACCAGCGCCGCGGCAAGCGCGGCCGCAGCGACTTTCCCACGGCTGGAGCTGCTGGAGGAACCCCCGGAGCCAACCGCTGGCGCCTCCGAGACAGGCGGCAGAGGAGGGGGGGGGGAGTTGGAGTCAGGTTTGGGTGGTGGGTCCTCTACTCACTGTGGTCAGAAAAGTCCTTGGACTTTTTGTTGAACATGAGCTTCCCAGCTTAAAGTCCAGAGACTTGGGAAGTGAGTCTAAATCCTGCCCACTCACAATGGGCCAACCGCCGTGTCACAATCATACAATTGTCAGGGAGTGCACGGCAGCCGTGGGGTAATCACACCAAAGATCTGCCACGCACTGGTTCCACATGTTGATCGAACCTCACATGATATTGCTGCCCTTGGGATTTATATAACCCCTTAAGCCCAGAGATTCGTTGGTCATGGAATTCTTGGTAGGTCTCGGATTGTATCACTTGTTCATGAATCCGCCGTATTCTCTGCAAACGCCTAAAACTACCAGAACTCCTAGCCTATCAGGCTAGCACAGGCTGCTAGACATCAAATGTCTCAGATGGCCCTGCCAGGAAACAAATTGCCGCAGCTGTTGTTTTGGGGTCGTGAAACATCAAATTATGCCCGCTCAGATTTACCCGCAAAACGCGCAAACTCCTCGCAAAACAGAAAATTCAGCAAATCATTTCTCTGGATATATGTATATATATATATATATGGAGAAATAGAAATGTGGCTCGCTAGGGGGTGCGCGGGTCCAGCCGAGCTGACCAAAGGGCGGCAAACACAAAGAGCGCAACTTGCGTGGACAACCACAATGTGCATGTTGAGCGTGATCATAACAATTGAATCATACTACTCGGTAGTACTCTGCGTGGATTGCCAAGCCTGTTGCATCGCATGATTCAGCAGTGCGTCGGGATGAGTTGAGCGGCACCTCGAACTAAACTAAACGCCCGAATCGCCTTGAAAACTATAACGGCCATCACGTTCATGACTTTTGCAGACAAAATTCATTGTTTCCTTCTTACCCTTGCCCAAATGGAAAGCACGGGACATGATGGTGTCCGTTTGTTGATGGTACGCATTTTGTGGCTGGCATAAAGGGAAGGAACACCAACCCTTTCTTGGGGGCACCCTATTTTGAGACATTCCCTCAGGGAGGACCCCGACTGCCGACCGGGCCATCTGAGCCGAGGCGCCGGAGCGCGGCAACCCCCCGCGCAAAGCCGGTGCCCGAGGCATGGCCGCGACCTCAATGAGGTGAGGCGCTTTCTCAAATGGGTATGGCTCAAAAATAGGGGCCCAAAATGGAACCCTGGCAAATGGAAAGGTAGACTAAAACCTGCATAACCCCATCTGTGTAATTGTGAGCCACACCCTGGCGGTTTGCTTCTCTGCCTGGTGATTCGAAGCCTCCATTGCTCGTCGGTAAGTGGGCAGATAGTCATCTGCGGGTTTGCACGTCCCTTGAACCCCGTCAGATTTGGATCGTTGTCCACGTTGCAATGGTCATGTTTGCGGGAGGTTACTTTATCATCACAAAAGTGGTGAGTTTTAGGGGGACACAAACACAATCCTCTGACTTTGATAGCCCCCAGAAACCGTCCTACAAAATAGTCTAAGGGTCCATCATACTAGAGAGATAGTCAACTCTCATCGAGGCTGACATTCAGCCCCATGTCATAGTCCATGATGGCGGCATGCAGGCGTTGCGAAGTGCAAGAACAAGTACATCGCCGTGGGTTAAAACCAATGGTACCAGTTTGGGTTAGGTGCACCACCCATTTTAGTCTATTTTAGTGGGGATTGGGATGTTCACTGGGGGTACGGCCTTTTGACCCATGGCCACATCCGTTTGGAGACAAGAAAACTCACTCCGAAAGGGCCCCCCGTCCGTTCCGCCTGGCCAGTAAGATAGCGTTCAACTAAGCCCTAAACATTGTAGGGTGAATTGCCGAACTCTATGGCTACTTTGTCCCCCCCTCTCTCTCTCTGAAGGCATTCCTGTCCCTGTCTAGTTTTCTTATGTAGACATAGATCCCATGGGAATGAAACCATCTATGAGCTTGGGCTGGATGGATCCAACTTGCCCCAACCCCCCCCCCCAAACCGCCGCCGCGCCGCGGGCGGTTTTGCGGCAGCGCCCAGCGCAGGGCGGCAACGCCATCGCCCATGGCGCGCTTTTGAGGCAGGGGCGGATTTGCCTGGAGCGGAGTCGTGACTCGGTGCTGGCCAAGTTGCCCTTGGCACGTAAACCCCATCTGTTGTCCATTTTGCTAGGCAAAGGATGCTTTCAACTCCTGTTGGCCAAGTTTTCCTGGGCTCTTACCCTACCAAACCTGGAACTGAGCAGACTTCCAGTTTGCTTGTTTGGGAGGGCAAACCCCATCTGTTGTTGCGGTTTTCGCATCTACACGTGTATCAACATGTGTATCACAGGCCAATAATTTGCTTGCTTGGGACTCTTGTAGGGAAAACGCATAAACTAGGAAACACTTCAAGCAAGAAAATCATAGCTTCGTTCTGGGCAGGACAGTAGTTGACCACTTGGCCTGCACTACAAAGTTGCGTAATGTAACATTGTTCCCCAGTGAGAGGGGGGCGCAAGGGTGGCCAACCCCATTCAGAGATAAGCAAAGGCGCAGGCCCGTCTTGGTTGCAAGCGTCTTGGTTGCCTCGGGTAAGGCTGGGGCTGGGCTAGCCACTGGAGCTTGGGCAAAGTGGAGGCAGCGAGAGGCGAAGCGACCCATGGCTCCCCTCGGCCTTTCCCCACTGGCCGTCAGAAAAACATCTGGCTGACTGCTGCTTTGAGAGGGAACTTTCCCTCCATGATTGCTGGAAAGAGGGCATCACAGGCAGGGGGTCCTACAGGATGCGTCCAAACACCAGCTGTCTTACAGGGAATCCTCGAATTCGGCTGGTAGGAGTGATTCCCTAGCTGGCCCAAATATGGGGGTGTCTTTTTTGAGGGTTCTTCAGGTTGGAAACTGCCAGGACAACCAATATGTGTGCTGATACATAGATCCTGGAATCATGACTACATCTTGTTCAAGAAGCCAACACCCCGTTCGAATTATTCAGGCCCTTGTACTCATCCACAAACTTTACAACTTTGCACCATGTCCCATACCTGAAATAACGGATGCTCGTTTTACCCCCAGGTGAGCTCGCCATAAATTATGCAGACTCATGCATCCTCATACTCATGTGTCCTTGAAACCCGTTTCAAGGGAGCCCTCCCGTATCGAAGAGAGGATTGCCAAGAGGCCCAAATCCGCGGCCGTTCAAAGGCAAGACTGCCGCCCATCCCTTGGTTTCCCTTTGGGTAGCTTTGAAAATTGGGCATTTAGCAGGAGGGACTTGGCGCGATGGCGGAAACCCCCGAAACCGAAAGGTTCGGGCAACAGTGATTTTCCCTGAGACAGCATGGGGCATACTGCCCCATGCTAAAAACTAAAGGTTGGAGGTTTGAGGCGCTTGCCACACAGCCACACTACGCATGAAGCCTCGGGTAAGTTAAAACTATGGGCTAAGCACCTAAACAAGCGGGGCTGGGCCCTGTTTAACCATGTTGAAAACCCAATTGTCTAGACAACCTCTTGTTGGTTCACCGATGCAGGGGGGCCAGGGTCTCGTGGTTTGACCGCTCCTCCGCGCAATGATTAATGAAACGCTCCAAAGCTTCAAGCGTCAGGCTGTCCAAGATAAAGAACATGGTCGCGATCTCGCAACCGCATAAATGAGATTCGTTTGAGGCGGAAGCCGCCAAGGGATTTGAAACTGAGCCGTGCAAACAAGGTCCAAACGTGGAGCTTGCATCCAATTGGGCACCATGGAAAGAAGACTTGCCCAACAACGGTGCGCATACGGAAGCATCCTTAAAGATACTCATAGCGCATATAGACAAATCACGTGAACTGGACCATAACGCACTATAAACAAGCAAAGGAGTCCTCTGCTGATATTGCAAAACACCCGCCACTTCAGACCGCCTCCCCCCCCCCCGCCCTACACGGCGCATCGTGCGTGGTTGGCCTCTTCGGGCATCATCCTGCAAGATCCTGCGGGGCCATGCGCCCCGAAAACGAATCGATGCCGATGTCTCGGGTGTTGCAATTCGGCCTTAAGCCATGAAACCGGGCTGTCCGTTTTCGCAAACTTTGTAACTTGTAGTGGGTGAAATTCGGAAACCCAACCACCAAGACCAACTAAAAAAGCAAAAACCTCAGGGGATGGCTGGGACGTAGCAAGGAAACACGCCTTGTTTGAAACAATCACCTCCGAGTTTTGAGGGTTTTCCATGGACCAGTTGTGAAAACCATATCCAGACATGGCCTATAGCAGCGGATTCTGTTTTGCCCTGAATGGCTGCGCAAAGTCGCACAGATCTGCAATTCCTGGGTGCCGAAAGCGATTCCTTCGCTTGAGGAACCGCTTCAAAACGTCAGGCCTTTGTGGCCCCGGCGCTCAGCTGCTTCGTAGCCGAGGCGCCCAAGATGACTGCGAATTGCAGTCTCGGGTTGGACATTCGTCACCAAGTCCGCGTCGTTGATCGTGCCCTTCACCTTGTCGACGATGAGGTTCCTCTCCACCACCCTCATCTGGAGCCAGAGGAACCTGGCTTGCACATGCCTTGTGCGTCCCACTCCGCGCCTCTCGGCCATCGCCTTCGCTGCGCTGCTGTCCACCTTCAAGGTCAAGTCTCACCCGTCCAGAACTCGGCCACGCCTCTCATTAACTCACCTTCTCACCACGTGCTCCAAGTCAGGCCTGTCCTGGCTCAGGTAGGCCATCCTCATCACTAGCGACCTGTACTCGCCCATCTGCTCCGCATTCAATTCCGCCGGCTGGTCCACAATGACCATGTCCTTCGCGACCTGCTTCTCCTGGGGCATGTCCACGCCCTTCGTCTTGCCGTTGAACCCGAACGCCTTCAGCAGAATCTCCGCATGCCGTGCATCGGCCTCCACCTCCAGCTTCCATTCCGTTCCATTCGGGACCTGGTGAGCCGGTTCAGGAAGAACAGCTCCTTGCCATCTCCAGAACCGTCCCCCATCTTCGCCTCCCACTCGCCGTGTAGCAGGTGTTGAGGATCTTGTCCAGCTCAACCAGCTCCGCATCCGCCGCCGTCGCCATGAAATCACCACCATGCACCAGCCAATATAGGTCCTTGACCTTGAACAGGGCAGGGCACAACGGGCTGAACTCAGCTCCCTTCTCGCACAGCCATCGAGTAGTCCTTCTGGAAGATGTGGCTGGCGTCCTGAGTCCCATACATAGACCTCAGAAGACGCCCGCACATGGGCACCCCGGCATCCTTCTCCCGCGTCCGGTCCTCCTCCGGCAACTGAATGTAGATCTCCCTCTCGGCGCGCCCTATGAAGTGAGTGCGGCTGATGTCCCACACTCCAAGCTTCCGCTTCTTCTTCCCTGGCCTCTTCGTCATGAACAAGCTCAGGAGTAGCTGTACGCATTCAAGCGGTCGCCGCAAAGGTCTCCTCCACCCTCAGCTGCTCCTCCGGCCGCTTTGCCTTTACCGCCTTAGTCACCAGCCTGCTCCTCAACTTTGACATCTTGGCTGTCACCCTTGTTGACGTCCAGCCACTTCAACTGCAGTGGCGTAAATCCTCTTTCTCGGCAGATGCTCATCGGCACGCGCTCGTACACCTCCTCTTTGGCCAACGAGTCGATCTCTTCCTTCCTGGCAGCCTTCACCTTCTCCACAGGCAGCATCATCCACACACTTCTCAAACTCCTTCTGATAGAAGTTCCTGCTCCACATACTCATCGGGCGAAGGCCCAGTCAGCTTCTCCTCCAAGCCGTTGATCTGCTTTCGGGCCCTCACTCTTTTCTCAAGCCTCTCAGGATTGCTTCCACCAGGCCCATTGGATACACCTGCGCCATCTTCGCGCGATTCTTCACTATGAGGTGCGTATGGCGATGCACCTCTTCACCAGCCAGCAAGTTCTCACACTGGCCCTCCAACTCCTTCGCAATGCACTCCGAGTTGGTCATCCACCTTGTCTCCTTCCGCACGTCCAGCAACTCGCCGTCCGAGTTCTCCATCTTCATGCCAAACCGACACATCGGGCTTGTACCAGCTCGTGGACCTCTTTAGGTGCGTACAAGTACACCCCACCTTGGCCTGCCTGCTGCTTGCAACAGCTCATCGCTTTTCTCACACGCTCCTCTCCGAGCTCCTCCTCCCCTCGCGCCACCTCTGGATCCCGCTTCGGATTGCTGATGTTTCTTAGCGGGCTGAACGTTGTGCACGGAGGAGAGCTCGTGACCAGCCAAGGCTTCTCACGCCGAATCACACGCCGAATCATCTTGCGCAAGAGCCCATAGTCTTCCTCCCAGTCCAGGTCCCACCTTTCACCGCCTCCTGGCTTCATCTCGTCCAGGTCCACCGCAGCTCCATCCCGAAGCCGAATCTGGCCAACTGCTTCGTCACCTCCGCTCCGCCTTCATCCCTTTCTCTTGGGAAACTCACCTCCGCCGGGCCCTCTGCTTGAGCTCGATGGTTCCTCTGCTGCTGCTCCTACTGCGGCATCTCCTCGCCTCTCATCAATCTCCACCTCAGCAGCGCGCCTCCCAGCCCTCTGCCGATCCTCTCGAAGATCCTCTGCTCGGGCCTTCTTCCTCACCTGCTCCTCTTTCTTGAAGATCCGCGACTGGCACTCCTCGTTGTGCCTCACCTGCTGAAATGGCTTGCCCCGCGCCAATGAGATGCAACCTTCACACCCCGGGTCTTGCCATACTTCTCCACCATGGCCTTCCGCACAGTCCGTGCCTTGCCATGTCCTCCGTGCGCCAGGTCCCGGCGGGCTAGCCGAGGCCTCCTCCGCCCCAGCCTCCGGTGCCCTCCTGCGAGCCCGGAAATGACCACCACCTGCGGACCTTGCATCTGCTGTAGCTGTTGCTCCATCTCCAGGTAGAAGTTAGAGATGCCTTGAAGCTCGAGGACTACGTGGCGGGCGTCTTTGGTGGGAAGTGGGAAGGCGCGAGAGGTATTGGAATGGGCAGCCGGGAGCGAGCTGCTAAGATCAACGACGGAGGGGGTGGCCTTCGACATCATCGGGAACGCGCCCATGGGGGCTGGGCTGGAAGCGTGGAGGTTGCTCCACAAGAAGTACGACCCGGCAACGGGCGGGCGCAAGCGCATCATGCTCCAAGCTTTGACGAGCCCGGAGAGATCCAGCTATGAGACTCTGAGAGCTGCTCTGGAAAGATGGAAAGCCTTGAGAGGCCGCTATAACAAGAAGAAGGACCAATTCGGGCAGACTCGCTGGCTATGAATGCCTTAGAAAAATTGGTCCCGAAGGAGATGGAGATGCACCTTCTGCTGAACTTCTCCAGGCTCAAGAACTTTGAGGAGATGGCGGCAGAGGTGGTGACCTTCATGGAGGCAAAGACCGGCAGCAAGATGGCGGTGAGCAGCAACTTCAGCGAGAACACCAGTGGAGGTGATGCGGTTCCCATGGATGTGGATTCGCTGGTGAAGGCGGTGTCGGGCAACCTTGCGTCCTTGGTGAAGGGCAAAGGCAAGGGTGGCAAAGGAGGAGGAAAAGGTGGCGCCAGGTTCGAGGGGACGTGTTGCGGGAAGAAGGGCCGGTACTACCGGAGGTGGAAAAGGTGGCAAGTCCCCTGGCGCAGGCAAAGGCTCTCTGAAGAAGTTTGAGGGCAGCTGCCACAATTGCGGGAAGCCTGGACACCGGAAGAAAGACTGCTGGGCTGCTGGAGGAGGAGCATCGGGCCGCTCCGCAAGGATGCTGGGGCACTGGAGGATCAGTGGGGAACCTGAAGGAGAAGCCAATGCCCTAAAGCTGTGCGCCCTGACCGCGGACAAGAAGAAGAAGGTTGAGAAGGATGAGGGCCCAAGCGGCACCAGCCGGAAGTGGAACATGGTTGAAGTGCAACTTCGATACTGGCGCTTCGATCACGGCCGTGCCCAAGAATTATCATGAGAACCTGCAGGAGAAGTCCAACTCGTTCAAGACGGCGAGCGGGGAGTTAATCCGGAACTACGGGCCGGTCGGAGTGGTTGGGTATGACGTTGGTGGTGTGAAGAGGAGCATTAACGGCAATGCCACGGACGTGCACAAGGTGTTGGTGAGCGCGGGCAAGTTGCACGCCAAGGGGCACTGCACATGGATGTTCAAGAACGGCGGCATGATCATGCCCTTGGATCAACCGGTGTGCAAGGAGATGGAGCGAACCTACGAGAGGGCGATGAGCAGGCACGATGACAAGGGCCTCATTCCATTGCTGGAGGAAGGCTTTGCAGTTGCTGCACCTGCCTGAGGCCGTTCACGATCTGCCCCATCTCCGTCATCGAGGGCCAACCCGATCACCACGTAGTGACCGTCCACCGCGTAGACTACCAAAGCCGCGAGGGCGGCCAACCACCTCCAGCAGTGCCAGCTCCTCTTGGCTCTGGCCCCCAGTCTCACCTCCGCCTTCTCCGCCACCGGGCCCCTCACAGCTAAGCCCTCCTCCTCTCCTTCGTGCCGTAGGAAATCAGCCGGGCCTTCTTATTCGCCCGGCTGGAGTTGTTCTTCACCAGGGGCTCCGCTACCATCCAGACATGGCCTATAGCAGCGGATTCTGTTTTGCCCTGAATGGCTGCGCAAAGTCGCACAGATCTGCACCATAGCAACCTACATTCGTTTAAGCCAGAAGGATGGCCAGCTCGCTGGGGACAAAAAGTTGGAAGTGTCGCGCAACTTCAAGCCGAGCCGAGCTGCTGGCCCCAAGTGGGCGTGAAAGTATCCGGGTTCCCGTTAAAACCGCTACAAAACGGGTACCCTCAAACAAATACACAAAAAACACAAAACAAACAGCGCTTTCCCAATGCAGGATGCTCGCCGCAATTTCTGGGCTCCTTCCATGTAATGACCCGAAGGCCAACCATTGGCACGATCGGAACCATGGCGCTCGTGTTGTAGATCGAGCACAAGTGACCTTTTTGAAAAGTAGATGGCCCTGGTAAATGGTCTATAAAGCCAATCTAGACCAATGGGACCCATCTATTTCTATCCAAACTCATCTACCCTCCCACCAACCAACAGGGAAGTGGACAAAGCTCCCTTCCAAGAGGAAAGCACTTCCGTGCTAGTCGGGGAACGGCATCTTCGAGATCAGTGTCCATCCGGATATGCGCACAAGCGCGGATTTTTTGGTGCGAATTGCTAGAGTCCGTGCCATGCAATGGGAACCTGACAGGGTGGTCAGGGAACCCAATTTGGACTCCGAAGGCAACCAACAACCACCAACCACACCGCAGGCATTGGCCTTGCTTCCATAAGGCAAAACCTCTTGGGGTCACCGACTTCCTGTTGTAGGCCACAAAAGGGCTGCTGACAAGCTAATCTTGGATCTCACCGGCATGAAACACTCTTCCTGAAGGAGCCAAGGCTCAACAAGATGCGGAATGCTGGCTGACTGGGCCCTACCTATTGACCAAAGTGCTTCTGAAAGCATAGGTTTGTGGTCCGGAACCTCCGGCCATAGGAAAGTCCACTTTTCTTGATGAAGGTCTGGGGACTATCACCCACCCAAGCTTCTTCTCACTTGACGCGCCTGCGGCTGAAAGCTCGCGCGCTGGCCAGAGGAGAGCCGCCCCGACCCCGCACCAGATCGAAAGTGGTCGAGTATGGCTTTCTTGGCTTGAGCAATGCGCTACTCAAACATGTCTGGGCGTGATTTGCACGTTGGGCCAATTGCAAACTAGTCCATGTTGGGTGATGGCTTGCCCTTGGAGCCAGGAAGGGAACACGTTGCACAAGTCTGTCGCGCGGAGGGAGTTGCATTGACCCATCACAGGCGAAGCCAATGATGGAAGTGGTCAAGCCCACGCCATCCCTGACCTTCCCCTGGTTCCCTCCAGCTGCAATGAACTGATTTTTGGGGAAACAGGTTTGCTTCTTTTTTTCGGCACCGGGGTTGGGATTCCATAAAACCAACAGTAGACAGCAAGGCATGCACCAATTAACTCGAGACATCTCGCAATCACGTCAGGCTTCCGCAAACCCTACGTCCATGACGCTGGAACTCCAGACGAAACTCCATTGCACGGGGACAAGTCCTTCCAGTTGCTTCACCCAAAAACTTCTGACCCTGCAGCAGGCTAGGCTCTTGAAACGTGTGGTTCCACGGGGGAGGAGTCAGGTGATAATCCGCTCCCCCTATTACTGAATGACCCCAATTCATAGAAATCCGGGGCCCGGGACCAGATTTCCACTCCGCACAATTGATTTTCCATTGCGCCAATACTAAACCAATACTAAAGTGTTGGAATCCTTATTAGGGGGCACTTTTAAAAAGCTTCCAGCCCCACTTTTAAAAAGGTGGGTTCCCCAAAAGATGAACTCCCTAAAAGGTTGCTTATTGGGGTGGTGTCCCAAAAAAGAAAACATGTCCCCAAAAGCTGTCTAGCTGCGACTGTCTCTCTCCCGTACATGCTGGCTAACCTGCCTGGTTGCAAACAAACAACCAGTAAACTGAAAAACAAATAGAATGATACGTAAAATTTCCTTATTAAACCGCTTCTTCGCGGGCCTTACAATTCAATCCATTTCCTCCAAATCCTATGTGAACCCTCACATTGTTGGAAAAGCACAAAACCCAACCCCAAAAACCCAATTAAAACAAATACATTGATTTACTTACAATAGGGAGGGGGGGGGGGGGGCGTATTTACTTATAGGGGGAAGAGATTAGTGGCCGTCGCCGGGATCCCGATTGCACACGCTGTAAGCCAAAACATCAAGTTGCCGGACATCAGGCGGCAAGATCTTTCCCTGAAAAGGGTTGGGGGGTCCCAATTCCATTTCTGTTTGGACCTGGATTGCGATTGGTTCATTACATTGTAGGAGCCATGCGACTGCGCTTTTTCGTACCATGCTTTACAGACATCAAATGCCAAACTCAAACCACAGTATGACCTCTGCCTCAGCCTTTGACCCAAAGTACGAAACTGAAGCCAGCCTGGTGCCAACAAACATGTCAAGACCGTCCTCAGGTTTCAAACTTTGTGCCCCCCCCGGCCGTGAAACCGCCGCATGGCGCCGCGGCGCGCCGCGGGCTTTTCTTCGCGCGCGCCGCTGGGCGCACGAAGGGACATGGTGCGCCTGCGGGCCAGGCACCCGCGGTCCCTCCACACTGAGAACCGTATGCCACCGTCAGACATTCCCCTTGCATTCTCAGAGCGAAAATGTTATCATTATTATTATTATTACTACTATTATTTTATGTTTTTTTTTGGGTGGGACATGTCCCAACTTGAATAGAGGCACGGAGCCACAATTCTCAAGTGAGGAGTCGGCAACCAGCCGCCGACATCTGCGTAGACTTGAACAGAGGGCAGCGCAGGGTGACTACAAGCACCAGCGAATACAAACCTGAGCGGGTTGGTGTCCAAAAGATGTGAACAGCTAAGTTTGCACGGGGTTGTGCTAAAGACCAGTCGCCTTCACTACAGCTTGTTGTGGCCATCTGCCACAATTCCATGAGGTTGTCGATCCTTGTGATGTTGTTGAGTTGATGAGTTTGGGGCTCATACCTGGGGGCCAATCATTGCTCCAATCATGTCAACCCCCGAACAAACCGCCCAGACCAATCGAGGGTGCTTGCCCGAAAGGTGAAGAACCCATGCTTTTGGGCGCCCGCTTCGAATCAACCATAGATTTATCAATCCGGATCGAAACTAAGATCTTACAAAGACACCTCGGGGCTGTACTCTGGGAAAAGTATCGCCGACGGCAGGACGAACCTCTCCCTCACCCATTCTGCAAGTTGTGTGCTTTCACTTCGGCCAAGAGTCCCAATATTTCCTGCCGAGCAATGGCAAGCCAATAACAGTAGAATCCGATTTCGTCTCTAAAGGAAATTGAGTGTTAGCTGTGCTTAATGCCGTCCTGTTTACTGCCTATGTGTCCAATCAAAACCGGTGTGCAAGTAGGTGCAATTCCCCAAAGGGGACCCCAGGAGAAAAAAACACCAAACTACAAGCAACTTTGGCACCCGTCATAATCCCAAATGTGCGAAACGGATTCTTCCACTTCCCAATTCTGGGGTGAGCAACCCGGCTTCACAAGGAACCAGGCATCAGCCCCTTTTCGGATGAAATTGGCTTCACCCCCGGAGCCACGAACTTCTTCCCCCCACCCCGCCTGCCTGGAAGGGCTGCGCACAAAGGGCAAAGAGCCGGATAAGATCAGGCAACCTTTCGGAAAAAAAAAAGCTACAGTAAATTCTGCAGGAAGCTAACAGGGTCAACAAGAGCTCAGGGAATGGTTTCCGTCGTGGGTCATGGCCCGATCCGTGTCAAAAGGAAACTGTCTCTTTGCCTCGACAGATGCAAGCCCATTTCACAACGCAAACACATTGCTCTTGCTTGGCCCTTCAGGCTATCAATGGGCATTGTTGCTCCTCTGTCCATGCGCTTGAAGAGTGTTGCGCCTCACAATTGCCTACAAGAGGCGTTGCAAGCAGAAACCCAGAGTTTCCTCTGTCACTTTCTGACCTCAGTGGACTTTAAAATCCCCAAACCGTCTGCTTCCCGCTCCCATGGTCTTCCCGCACTCATATGGGGGAGGGTTGTCAAATCCTTTCGGTCGCTGTGCCACTTCGCCAGGGCATCCACCCCTTCTCGGCTTCCTCTGGGGGAGGTTAAGCACCATACTTGTCCACTGACGTGTCAGCAAGACAAATGCTCTTTGCGGCCGCACCAAACCAAAAACAAAGAAGCCCGAAAAGAATTCTGCTTAGACAACAAGGAAGAGGACCCTTTAAAAGCAGAGATCTACAGGCTCTGCGCTGCCCCGTGCAACACGGCATGCAATCAGTCAATTTGGGATCAAGTACCCTCCCGTCCACGGGTCCTTGTACTTCTTGCCTTGGCCCTGTTAATGTTTCTTTCTCTGAACTGGTGCTACGTTTGGTGGGGGACCCTCAAACCCCTTGGTTCAAAGAGAAACCACAAGGCAAACATGGAAACTTGTTGCCCCCCCCCTGTTTTAATATGAGCTGAGGCTGCACAGAAAATATTGCTTTCTTGCTCTGTTCCGTGCACACCACAGGCCCTTGGGGCCTTTGGCTCAGTAAGGGAAGCTCTTCTGCGTCATCAGAACGTAGAAGTCGTCCATGGTGACCTCCCCATCTGCGTCAGCGTCGGCCCTTGCGATCATCTCCTCCAGGGCCTGCAAGGATTTGAGGGGTCGTCCGCTGATTTTAGCGCGAAACCCTCTCCAAACCATGGACTGTCATGTCTTTTGGGTTGCTCCAAAGACGCGTCTGATAAGAGCGAACCACTGGAAACCAAGAACTCGGACACCAAGACAAAACGCCGGCCAAGTTCGAGGGGTGCGCCCTTGCAGGTACCAAGATCCTTGAATCCGAGCCCGCGCCTTGCTGCACAAAACTTGATTTGCTTCACCAACCAGCAACAAACAAATGCCGAGGAAATCATGGGGCTCGGAATGGCTCAGTTGCTCACAGCGCCTCATGGCTTCACACAACAATAATGGACCCCCCCTCGGAGGCCAACACAAAGCTTGTTGATACCACGGGCCGGAAGAAGAGGGAAGTTGAGGGCGTAGTTGTGGAAGCTTGTGGTTTCAGGTCGCCTCCTCAGGCCCTTCCTCGCGCTTCCCTGCCAAAGTCGGACAATCTCGATGATAGACTGACAATGGCCCTTGCCCCTCTTCCCCCAAACAAAACGAGCAAAAGAAACAGGCCAACACAAACGTGGACGCACACACAGGACCTTGGCCTCTCCAGGTTGGGGCTTTGTCATACCGCATTGACAGCAGCATGCTTTTTACGGGGAATCCCTGAACAGGGGCTTGGTTGGGATGGATCCCCGCCCCGTTTTTGGAAGAACATCCCACCCGCAAACAAGAACCCCGCTTTAACTTGGCCTTAACTGTGACGTTTAAAGCCACCCTTCAAGGGGAAATCCAGCCACGGGTTACACGGGTTCCAAGTTTTCCGGCACCAGGAATTCTATAGCACAGCCAAAACCACCGGCATTTGATGGGCGCGTTGCATCCGGCTGGTTTCCACCCAACCCCGTCCACCTGGAGCGCCCAGCTCGCGCTAAAAAAACGCGGCACCTCGGCCGGCAGCTGTTCGCCCAGCTCGCGGGCCACACGCTTGAGGTTCTTCAGGGTGATGCTGCCTTACCCGGGCCCAATGGGAGGGATACACTTTCGCCACTTGGAACGTCTCCACTGCCCGCTGATTTAGAGCATCCCCTTTTCAGAGATGGCTGGTGGATGTATGTAACTTTTTGTGGAGCCCTGTTGGAGGCGATGAAGGAAGGCATAGAAAGGCGAGTGGCGACGGCGGCTTGCTTGATAACCAGCTGAGGGATTCTGAGCAACGGTCATGGTTCCCCAAGATCCCAAACTTGGTTGCCTAAAGTCCTTGAGTCAAACTGGAGTCTGTGACCAGCCCTGCTCAAGTTATGAGGAGCTGTGTTTTTGGGGGGGGCCTCAGGGCGTTTGGCCGGCAAAGGCGCTCGGAGCAATGCTGGGTTGACGCCGTAAAGGCAGTTCTGGGTGAATTTTGAAGCACATCCGCAGACAAAGAATTCCTGGCTAAATGGCGGGTTAAAGGAAAACCGCCCCAGAGGTAAACTTAGAGAACTCCTGAAACCGGGTCCCAAAGCTAGTTTTGAAAGCCATTCAGGCAACCGAAGCGTCCTTCCGAGTGCCCGAAAGTGTTTGGATGGCAGTATGACGATGAAACAGGGCGGCACCATTTGAGAATCTAACCAGCCAATCTTGAAATAAATGTATGTATGCATGTAATGCTGTGTGTACATAGATATAAAAAGTTGCATGGTCTTTAATTTTATGTGCGTCCGTACATGCATACACATACATAATTAGATATACCCATGTGTATACAATAAAGTTACATACATTAACATAGACATATAAAACTACGGCCTCTTCCACACAATGACAACAAACATATGATCCAAATGTCCCGTATCTTCCACGGCACCGGTGCGGTCATCATCGAAGAGCCGAAAGACCTTGGACACATCCTCCCGGGTGTCACGCTCACCCATCCTTAGTGGCAATTCCTTCCCCCCCCCTCCTGCGCAAACGGTTCGCAGGTTGCATGTGTTGCTCCCGCACTTTTATGGCTGGTCGGGCATCCAACCAAAGAAGGAGGGGATCAAGCAAAGACCAGATGCTTGTTCAATGTTTGCAGCATAGTGCCAACTTTGGATTCGCCAAACAGAGGACAATGCTTATCGGCGAGGTCCCCCAAAAGATCGAAAGGATAAAGGTTCCAAATCCGACCAAATAGCAGCCAAGCATCTTGGCCGTCATGATGTCCAAGAACGCCCCGAAGTCCTGGGGACCGGCAGAAAACTTGCAGCTGAAACAAAATGCAAACCCTTCACAGGCTCAGTCATGAGGTTCCCCATGGGTCTGCTTGCACCCCCCCCTCTAAACAGAGGTAACGGCAAATTTGGATTGGACCTTCCAGGATGTGATGTATCAAGCCACCGAAAAATGTCAAAGCATGCGGAACCGCCAGTTCAGGTCTCAGGTCGGTTGCGGTTGGCTTCCTTGAGGTTGCCCCTGGCTCCAAAAAGCGGGTGGGGTTGGCCTGGGGGGCCCCAAATCCCGGCGGCCGGGTCGCTTCTAATGTGGAACCTGGTTGAGTAGGGGGTGTGGGTTGTGTGGGTTGTGTGGGGTGGGGGGGTGGGGGGAAGTGTGGGTTTATGAGGCGCTGCAGAAGGTTCAATCTCCAAAATCTCCAAAACGGCCGAGTCGCCAGCGGCTTTGCCCCAAGCCGCTCCAAGTCGCTGAGGATTTGGTGGACCACCTGTGAGCCCGTTTAAGCCGAAGCAATGCGCCTGGTTGACCGAGAAACCCTTGTGGAATACTAGGGCGGCGTCCGTTCTAGCGGGCATCCTTCACTTTTGGGAACACTCCCGCAATAGATGCTAACGGCATCGGCTATTACACTCCAGGTCCTCAGGAGGGACTCAAAGAACGGGATCGCTCGTTTGGCATCAGAACTCCGATTTGGGCTCCAATTCAAATTACTGGTAAGAATTGAGATCCACCACTGTTGGTGAGCACTCTACAAACGCTCTTTTCTACTGGGGCGCAGCCGATACAGCTCAAGGCCTGTCAAGACAATCCAGATCAACCCAAGACTCTTAAGTGGTTTCCTCAGCCCCCAAAATTATCTTTGGGTTGACCGTGGATTTCTTCCTATGGTCGCCCTGACGACCAGATGCGAGGTGATCTGCTTCAGCTTCTATTCGAAGCCGGCAGTTCCTCAGCAAAGCAAACATTGGCTCCTCATGAGCGCCGATCATCTTCGTCAGCATGTCTGCCGGGTTGAAGTTGTGGGGCAGCCACCTGATCCTGCCCTGCATCTTCGCGAGGCTCTCCTTGATCACTGCGATCTCGAGAGCGCTGCGGTCGTCTTCTCCCTGCGCCTGCTCTGAGTGTGTGGCGTCGTACACCGACTTGGCGTCGATGATGGCCACCAGGTTCGGGTCAGCGAACCTTGGGTTCTCCGAGGCAATGACCGTGGGGGTCCCGTGAAGACCGCCGTCATCGTCACGTTCAGCGTGCTTTCGAGGGCTGTACCTCGACCACCTCAGAGACTCCAGCATTGCTACCTGCTTCTCCATGGCGCCCAATGCGGTTGCCATGGAAATTGCTTCGCACAGCATGGTCGATCCAGCTTTCCTCCGCAATCTCCGAGAGCGCCATGACATCAAGGAGATAGGTGCAGAGGCTCCCTGACTCAAGGTGTCATCGGTGATGCCCTGCAACCATCCATGCTGCGGCTTCTGCTTGCCTGACGGGTCATAGGAGCTATCCGCGATCAAGATGTGGCGGATCTTGTCCTCGGGGATGCTGAAAATGCGGAGCACGACATTGTGGCCCTTGATCTTGTTCACCACTCTATTCGCCTCCAACGCATTCTCGGCAGTGGGGTTTGGGAAGCATCCGGCAAGGATGCTCGCGGCTGCTGAAGCGTCAGGTCTGCCCTCACGGGCAATCCAGTTTATGGACGCTATTGTCCCCCGCAGCTGCGTCTCCTCGTTGGCTGTCAACGGAACCTCGCTGGCGTTCTTCTTCAGCGTCTTGTTCTCCAGGATCACCTGCTTGAGGCGGTTCTGGACGTAGTCCTGCATGGAGTGAGTGAATGAGCAGTCTTGCTCCTGTCTGATGCGACGTCCCGCGTAGCCCGTGCCGAGGTCCTCCGACTGCAGTTCCACCGCCTTGCCGAAGCGCAACTTCTCCTCGAGCACTTTCATACGCCGTCGATGTTCTTCATCGCCGGCCTCCAGGACGTCGTCCACTTCAATCACGATGGCTCCTCGAGTGGGAACCTGTTCACCTCGCTCTTCTGCATCCAGGGTCAACACGCATCGGTCGTACGGATTGATGCGGTACCCAAGCTCCTTCACCAACACCTCGAGGAATGAGCGTCTCCACCATGCGGGTCCTGAGACCAGCCCATAGACTTCCGTGTTGAGCATGATCAACTGGTCGTCGCTGTAGCCGCTGAAGGCTTCGTCCTTGGGCATGGTGCACGCCAATCGTTTCTTCCTCGTGGTTGGCATTGACTGCAAGAAGGCTGTTTTCGCGTCCTTCACTCTGGCTCCCCATTTTCGTGATGCTGCCAGCTGGAAGAAAAGGTACAGCGATGAGGTTATCGGTGTGGGGGCCGATCTCTCAATCTCGTGGATCTGAGGGTCCTGCCATCCGACAACGCACCAGCGCGACTTCGCTGCCAGGCCCTCGTGCTTGGCGGGGTCGAAGTTGGCGTTGCCGTACTCCTCCGGCAGCACTGCAAACTTGCCAGAGGGTTTCCACCGATCCACGAACCTGGATTCCAACACACCTTCCGGGTAGTTCCTGCGGAACTCCTCCGACTCCTTCTTGGAGAGGATGGTGATGGACTTCGTGTCGAGCAGGGACTGGAGTTCCTTTGCTCGGGCGCCTCTGAAGATTTTCTTGTGTTCGTTCCCGAGCTGGTTGAAGGTGACCTGACCAGGGGATGTCTTGGCCTTGGCGAGGTACATGCACCGGTCCCGATGGCTGTAGCTCGCCTCCGAGTTCGCGATGTCGAACGTCTCCTTGCCCTTGGGGGTGATTCCCGAAGTTCCCATCCGCTGGTTGGTCCACCACGCTGCTCCGTCCTTGCCGTGCTCAACCTCCTCGAAGTCCACCGCCTGCATGAAGAATGATCTTGCCGGTGGGGTAGGCCACGCTGGAGTAGCTCCATCGAAGGGATAAGGCATGGCTCTTGATTCCGGTGGAGCTCGTTGAGGTCCGTAAGGAATGCTGGTTGTTCCGCCACTGCCTTCGTCCACCACCACGGTAGATCTTCTGCTCATAACTGGCGTAGTTGGTCTGCTGGTGGGTCGTGATGAGGACGGCGGTCGGGTGCTCTCTCGATCTCCGGCCTCGACCTCCATGTCTTCCGCTGTTGGTTGAGGTGCGTGAGGTTGGTTCTCGGCCTCCACGTTGGCATGATCTAACTCATCTCCGTCTACGTTGTTATCCACCGGTGCTGGTAGTGCTTGAGGTTCTTGGACTGGCTGTTGTGACTCTTCGGGAGCAGGGACGTTTTCTATGGCCTCGATGGGCATCTCCAATTGCCGTTGGTCACCGGGGCCACCTTCCTGCTCGATGTCGTGATAGTGTTTCACCTTGCCAGTGTGAATGTCCTTAATCATCTCCTGCGAGAGCTCCTGAATGAGTTCAGCACCAAGATGCTCTTCCGCAGTAGCCGGACGCACTTGTTCACGAGAGGCTTTCACCAAATGTCCTCTCAGGCTGATCCACAGCGAGTTGCCGTTGGGGCTCTCCGCGAGGATGATTCCGGGTCCGCTCCAGCCGTTGTACTTGTCCGTGTCTCGCCAGACGTAGACCCAGTCGCCGATGTTCAGCTTCTTCGCGTCGGAGATCCGCGTCCTTTTTCGCACAGCAGAGCTGACCATCTCGGCGTCCTTGTTTCTCATCCAGGCTTGGCTTGCAGCGTCTCTGATTTCCCACGCTCTCTTGACGGGGCCACTTGCTCCCTGGTGCACCAGCTCGGAGTCCAACAGGTCATCGGATGCCAGGGATGCCGGCAATCTCGGGTTGTAGCCGAACACTCTCTGATACGGGCTGAACCCGCTCCGGTTGTAGTACCTGTTGCGGTTGATCTGCACTTCTCGCACGCATTGATCGAACTCGCTCTTGCTGGTCGCCTGGATCTCCTGCAAGGTGAGGGACAGCTTCTCCTTGAACAAGCCTCCAGCCTTTTCGGTTCTCCCATTCTGCCATGGGGCCCGGGCGTCAATCACATGGATCATGAGGCCCATGTCTGACAATCTGCCAAGGAACTCCTGGGAGGTGTACTCGGTTCCCTGGTCGATGACCAGGACACCGGGTGGTCCATAGTGGGTCAGCCAGGTCCTGCAGAAGGTCTCAAACGTGTCGAAGGCTGTCTTCTGGGGCATCTCCTCCACGATCTGCAGACCGGATCCCCAACACAAGATGTTCAGGAAGTTCAAGGTCACCTCCTGGAAGGGGTAGAAGAAGGTGTCGATGCCGACCACCTGGTTGAACTCCATCTGTCGCACCAGATGACCGGGTCGTGGAAGTGTGGGTTTCTGTCGGGCCTCACACAGCGGGCAGTTGAAGTAGCGCTTTGCCCAGTTGATCACCTCTTCCTTGGCGTTGGCATGCCTAAGGGCACGCACGAAGGCTTGTCGGTCTGGGTGTCCGAGGTTTCGATGTAGACGGTAGAGTTCTCGTCGGAGGTCTGGTGCCAGAGACCATTGTCCGGTCTCTGCTTTCTGCCAAGTGTCGATCTTGTCGGCGGCCTTCTGAATGTTCTCGCCCTCGCCGATGGGGACCAGTTGACGCGATGCGCTTTGCATCACAGGGTCGGTTTCCACATCGTCATCAATTGCTGGTCGAGCAAGAGGTCGCGAAGCGGCCACCGTAGGCGATGATGAATCTGCGCCTCCCAAAATTCTGTGTGATGGAAAGCAATGTAGCAAATAGACCTCCAGTTCGTCCTGAAACTCGGCCTCGTTCTGGATGAACGTGGCCAAGACGGAAGCCAATCGATTGGCCTCGTTGTCTGCTTTCTGCTGATGCCACGTTGAAAGTGCTGCGATTGCTTGTGATGGTAGTTCGTGAGGAGGGTTGACCTGGGCGTAGACACCGAGGTGCTGCAAATGACGTCGTAGTCCTTTGAGGATGGCCTTGACGAAGGCGTCGGTGTAGACCGCAGTAGGTCCAGCCCGTCCTCCAATGAGAGGTTGATGCACTTCATGGCCTGGGCAACGTTTGGCCAGCAATTTGACCAATGGCCACACGTTGGTCAGCAGTCGTGTCGGTTTCTTCGCGGGAAGGTTCTCCTTCGTGGTGGTCAGCTGAAAGGCGCACATGTCCAGATGGATGCAAAACACGGTGGGTCTCTGCATCAGCCTTTGAGCCCTCTCCGACCGCCAGGATGATGCTCCCCGCGGGTGTTCCAGTAGGAACCCGCGACGGTTGTCATCTTGGTACTCCGCGATGCTGAGAGCGAAGTCCCAGTGTAGATCTCCTTCTTCTTGCTCAGCAATCACCGTCTCGGGGTCCCTGCGGTAGTTGCTCAACTGTCTCAAAAGGGAGAAGCTTGTGCATGGCGGCGACAGCGTGATCAGCGCAGGCTTCAGCTCCTTGACTTGCCTCCGAGTGTCTGCCCGACACTGGGGATCACAGAAGTTGTAGCCGGTGGTGAGGTCCAAAGCACCTCCAATCCTCCATTGACCGTTCTGTGACCTCGCCATCTTGGTCACTCGCGGAGGGCTGTAG